TAATTTTCACACATTATTAAGCGGGGTGTGGAAAAAGGGGAGGGTGTTGACGGGGGCGTGGTGCTAAAAGTGGGTTGCATTTTGTTATTCACAAGGCATGGGCGTACTGCCCCCTTTTCACCACTCCCAGCTGTCTTTGTAATTTTTTATACTTTATTTTACGCACGTAACTGTGCCGGCTGACCTTCGCCAATAAAATCGGTAGCGACTTGGTCTTAAATTAAAAACACTGGTAAACTTTATTCAAAGAAAGAGCAACTATCTTAAACAAATTAATTCATTAGATAAGGTTCAAATAAAAATTGTGAAAAAAATACTTTGAGGAAAAAACTGTCAAATATCACCAGTAACAAATTAAAGATTTTAAAGGGCTTTGTGCGCTATACAAATTTAATTCGGCATGCCGATTAATCCTGACATTGACTTTGAAAGAGTTTGTATAAAATAATAACTATTATTGAAAATAAAAAGAAATATAGAAAGCTTCACTGTACTCGCCTGTGTTTTCATAATTTATTTATTGTGTCTTTTACTTGGGTCTGTTTTCTGTTTGCTTTGGTTACGTTTTGCAAATGATTTTAATTCACAATTTGCAAAAAATTGGTTTATTTCGGTTCGCATACATAATTATGTTTGTATTTTTATAGCCACGAAATGTGCTCGCAATTGTGTCAGCCATATGCATATGTCTCTTGTTTGCTCGTTAGTATAAAAACCGTGTTCCACATTTGACTTTTCATATTATTCGATGTCCCTGAAGGTCTCGAGATATTTAAGGTACCCAAATGGGTAAACATGAGCATTTATTTATGGATCGTGTTCTCAATAAGCTTAACCCAAGATAAGGTGCACCCTTCAAATGTGGTCGCATTTTTAGTGGATTACACATGAATTCACATGGTTTTAGGGAATTTATACAGATGATGATAATACAATTATTATTATTATGATTCACATGTTGTATACTATAGCTGAATCAGATTTGATAATAATACTAGATTTCTAAATGAATTGAAAACAATTTTTAACAATTAAACTTTATTTTTATATAACTAATCTTTTAGGTCATGCTTAAAAATTAATTTATTTTCACTATATGTGACTATTTTATGACACGTTTTGGGAATTTTCCTTGAACGTGCACTGGAACGACAAATTGTACTTTTAAGTGGAGTTCCACTTACCGGAAGTTCTCATAATTTATATCCAAGGGTTTAAATCCCCTTGTTTAGGTCACGTCTCAAGCCGAATTCCACATTGGCTTACATTTGGCATTTGTTTGGCTTTGAAACAGCAAAATGTCATTAGCAAACGCCCTCGGGTCACGCCCACCAGCCCCGCGAAAAAAAAAGAAAACTTGTCTGTGGAATGTGTTGGATTTTTGGCACTGAAATGGAGCCAAAACTGACAGCAGCCCAAAAATAAGCAAACAAACAAAGCGAGTTTTTTTTGCCAAATCGAAAATATTGACAGTTAGCCAGCTAATGCACCTTGCATACATTTTGTTTGCACTCTTAAAAATTAAGACACAAATGGGGCAAATGGTATTATTTGAAAAGAAATTGAAAAATAGCAGAACTATGCGATGAAATAGAAACTAAGTTAACTTTATTTATGGTAAATACCTATTTAAATTAACAACATTACCTAGATTTTTTCCCGTGTAAGGGACGGGGGGAAAAAGGGAGGCCTATTTACCAGCTGTGTTTGCTCTCTATAAATAAAGTCAACTAAAAATGGCAAAAATGTATTCATCATCAGAGGGAGCTCATCAGGCTGAAGTCAAACCATTTGTGGGGGACTTCGGAAAAGGTAAGGGGATTGTATTAAAAGGGGGAGGGGCGTTGCATTTAGGGGTTAATGAGGGGAGCGAACTGGCAAAAATCGGGGGAAAAAGGAAACTGATAATTGCGTTGACACTCTTTTGTTTGATTATTTGTCTTGTGAGTAAGATGCCTCATCTATATAGTCCCATACCATATTTTCCAGTTCCATACCCTCGGCAAACGTGCCGCCTAATGGTATTGGTTTTAATGCACAGCAGGGGGAAAGTAATGATGTCTTGAAAATTGTATAATTCAAAAACCATTTATTGACTAGCAAGTACTTAAGTAAATCACTTTACATAATTATATGTAACACGTAATTGAAAGAAGAACACAAAACACAAGATTTATATTTAATTTTATCATAACAATAATAATAAATTAAGAAAGTAACACTTTTGTGCACTTTTTGTTTCCATAATTAAAAAAAAAAGCATGGTCTTTCTATTTACCACAGGTGTATGAAAAGTATGTTTGTTATCGCCCAGAGCTTTTACATAATGCAAGAGTCGCGGCATATCTCTGCCGACTTTTTCGATGATTTTCCGTTTGCCTTTATCTTATCTCAATAAAATTGAAATACCTTTGTTGTTGGCGGTCATAAAAAGCTTACAATAACACACAAATCGGAGGAGAGGAGGCAATTGTGGAGCGCATCTTGGAGGCGCTTCTTCTGACTCACTTTGGACTTGGATTGGTTTTTGTTTGCCTCGAAACCGACTATTCCAGACCATTTGATTCACTTTAATTTCGCCTTTGTTGTCTCGCCTTTCTTCGGCGTAATTTATTACACATCTTGTGGATTTTTCTTTGGCTTTCCTGACGTTTTTTTTTTCTCGGGCCTAGTCACACAAGATGACGTGCCACAGAATTTGAGGGAAACAAGAAGAAAATAAAATAAAATAAAAGCAAAAGCCAAATGCATTTCGTAATGTTTTGTTGTAATGATCGGTTGATGATACAGCCGCCGGAGTCGCTCATCATCGTGATTATAATGATGCTGATGATGATGGGGCACCAAAAACGAAAGAAAAACCGAAGAAGCGTCTAGACTGAAAGCGAAAGTAACGCTCAATGGGTTAAGAAATTGAATTTTGAAGATGACATGCAACTGGAAAAAGTAATACAAAATTGCACAAGAAATGCCAATAACTAATTCGAGATTCTGCAATTTATTTATTATCTAATATTGCTAATTTTCATTATCGAAAAGTATTGCACATGTAAGCCAAATAAGTTTTTAGCCTAAGTCTTAAAATATAAAATAATAGTTATACTCCATTAAAGATAATTCAATTGGTGAAATATGAATAGGAATAAAAGCTCTTAAGTTTATTGATAACTAAAGAGGGAAATTGAATTCCCTTGCCTATAAATATAGCCCAGTGATATGGTATATATTGAATATGTTGGCTTGAATCATTGGAGGCGAATACGTTATAAGCGTAATCAATCAACCATAAACAAACAAATGAAAAATTCGACCTTTGATAACACACACATGCACTCGAAGAAAAATAGAAATAAAACAGGTAAAAAGTTTTTGTAGAAGCGGTAAAAAAGAGAAAGATATATGGAAGTCAGAGCACTGGGCATAAAAAGTTTTCACTTTTATTTTTGGGGCGCGGAAATGGTTGCGTTGGAGGGTACCCCCTCCACACTTTCCGCCCGGCGATCCACCTCCAAATATTTTACGAAATGTGGCCCCCCTTTGGCCCCCACCCACCATCTCCCGGCCAGCATTTCTCCACCCATATCCCCCCGAAAATCTGGAGTGAAGCAAACGAAGCCGAAACAGTCCGAATTGGGTCATAAACACCAAAAGTGGTCGACGGCAAAACGGAGACTGCGATTAAGTGGCGGCGGCATCATGATCATCATTATAATCCAGTGGCCTACCCAGGGGGATTTTCGGGGGCTAAGACCTAGCCTAAGAAAATGTTCAAATAATTATTAGATTAAATTTCAAAGCATTTAAAAACTTAAAAGGATTAAAGCTTTTAACTGGAAAATATACATTTGTAGATCGATTCGATATAGACCAGATTTTAAAATACTATTTTATTCATTAAATAGCTCGTATCTTAACTATATAAGTTGTAATAGGTGAAACTACATTAATGAAAAAATAGTTCAAATAATGGATATGTACTTCAATAGTTCAAGCGATCCAAAATTATAGATGTATCTTAAAACTTAAAACCCCCATTGCTAAAGCCCCTGTTGAAATATGATTTTATGGTCATCGTGATCATGTCACTGATAATTCCATAATTTTGGTATCACTGTAGTTGTTGGACCAACGTGTGTGGCGGCTTTATAGTGACCGTTCCACATTATGTGTCCACATTGGATAACTGGAAAATGGGAACGCACGTTATTTGCCTGATAAAGTTTTCAATTTATAAAACAAACACATATAAACATGCATACAATACATTCATTCATATTACTGCGCATAAATCATTTTCCACCATTTCTTGTCGCTTTTTGATTGATGTTGTTGTTATTGTTGCTTTTCCATTTTTTTTTATATACTTTTTTTACTGCTGCGAGTGCAACTTTATCAGTTACAAGTGCGTGTGTTTGAGTCAGAAATCGGATCGAAAGGGGGGCTAATGGGGGGTCACTGGTCAGCGTCGGCACTCGCTGCATATGACATCATTCGGAAGTTGGAAAAACCATTATACGGCAGCTCAAGCGGTAAATAAAAAAGTGGAGCTTTCAGGGATACGTGGGTTCCAAAAAGAAATCGTTGAAAAAGGTTTTTAAGTGGGGTTTTTTCAGGTCTTTAACAAAGTGAAATTTAGTATTAACATTTTGATATATTTTGTCATATAAATTGTATGCCTCTTTCCTAAATTTTAAGAAATATTTTAAGCAACTTATATTTTTGTAGTTATTTGTTCTCAGTGTGCTTACATTTAATCACCCAAAATTCAGCACAGCTGTGGAATTTCCTCCCTTTCGAGAGCACGTGCGCCGGCACACACACTCACTTATAATTAGGGAACCCCTGAAATCCCTTAACAGTGTGCCAAATAAAAAAAAAGAATAGAGAATACCCAATAACAATTACCGACCAGCTGCCCATGCAACTCCCAGATGACACTGGACATTCCTGGTATTCATTCGAGCGCCCTTTTAATTCCCGCCCTTTTTCCCTCGTTGCAGATGTCCTTGACGAAAAAGGATCCCTCGCTGAGAGTCGCCGCCTCGGATCCGCATCTCGTTTCTCTGGGCGGCGGACGACTGAGCACCGCCGTCACCCTGCACTACATACACATAGGTGAGTGGAGAAAGTCATCGGGTTGGTCTTCAACACCAGAAAAAAATGGTTTTTAACTAAGTTTTGGAATAGTCACATAAAATAAATTTGATCATTTCAATAACGTTTTTTTTCTAATTTTATTCTTTTAGAATCTGAATCTGAATTCGTTTAAACTTGATAATTTTTATTTAGCCCATTTCCGCTGCAAATAGTGGGAGCTATAGGCCTGCTTAGCATTGGCGGTCGCCACTATCACCTGAAAGTCTCACTTTGATTAATTAATTTGTTTGGTCTTGTTAATAACATATTTCCTGAGAATTCATATTTAAGGGGCCAAAATTATTCTGCAACTTTCCTAAAAAAAAAAAAAAAAATTAAAAAAAATATATAATATTTCATTTTAAAATAAGTTTAATAATGTTTGTACTTGAATTAAAAAAATTCAACAAAAATTTCAAATAATTCGGGAGCTACACTGGTCGGTCACGCATCGTTATTCACATCCGTCCCTCTCCCTCGCACGCAAGCGTGTCATTTGTGTTTAGCTTGTTGCTGCGGCCACGCGTGCGCATTTCTCTCTCTTGCTCTCTCTCTTTTTTTTTGCCCCGGCAAGGTCACTTGTAAAGCGATAAGCAAAGTACCAAAAAAAAACCAATAGCAACAACAAGTAGCAAAGCGCTCACACACAAAAAGTCTTGCGAAAGCAACGCACAAAAGACAACAAATACGGTGAGCAAACTGCGATAAGCTGATTTTTTTTTTAAGTTTACAATGGGCTAAAAAGAGTTGAAAAGATTTATAAATCAATATTCGTTAAAGAAAACAGAAATAGGAAATAGAGTTAAATAAATTAGCTGAACAATTAGAAAATACAAAAGAAAACAGAAAAGTGTCAATGGTGTCAAAACCAGATAAATTAAGTTTTGGCTTTAACTTAAGGTTTTTGTTTTTCAATTTAAACCTTTTTATAATTTTGAAAATAAAATAAATATGACATAAACTTATACACAAATATGTATAATTATTATACATATAATAACGATTACAACATTAATATTACTATTCTGAAAAACAAAATGTTCCAGTTTGAAAAGTGAAAAATCTAAGATATAAGACGAACAAATATTTGACACCGAGACCAACTTATGGAAACCTGTTATTTGCTTGTTATGGATTTATTCATTGAATTTAAGAATTTTTAATAGTAGTAATATACACCTACCACTGTACCAAAACAGAGATACATTGTCAAGAATATGCTGTATATTCCCAAAAAAAATCAGAGAGAGAGAGGAAGATGTGAACTGAGATAAGAAAATACTGTTCAACTGACTGTTGAAATATTCCAACCTCACATTACCGAAAACCATTTCAAACGTGGAACGTTTAGTTCCGAATCCGAGTTTTATAGACGTAATATTGACTCTATTTGGATTCCCATTTACATAGGTGACACGACTATTGGATCGGCAGCCAGTTGCAGCATCTCGTTGAACGGAAGCGGTGTTCGTCCGCTGCACTGCACCATATACAGGTACACTTCCCTTAGTTTAATATTTTCCTAACATATCAAAACTACTCAAATCTTAGCTTTAATCCCTCATTTAAAATTATATTGCAAAACTGTAATTTCTAATTACCAGAATAATTAACTAAAATTGAAACTTGAAAAACACAATAATCATTTTTTTTTTTGGTTTGAAATCCAACAAGTATTTTTGACTTTAAAAATTTGAGATTTTAAAAATATGAGACTTGCTAATAAGTACATCTAAAACTGTGTCTAAATTTTCTCAAAGTTTTAAAACCCCGCCACTTGAATATACATACATAAATCAAATGTTAAGAACATCAAACTAAATTTTCAAAACAATTTACAGGAGCGACGCCAACGAGGTTACCCTTGTACCGGAACAGGATTCCCGCCTGCTGATCGACGGGACTCCGATTCTGGAGGAGACCAAGCTCAGCCAGGGGGCAATGATCACCATTGGCAACTCGAATTATCTGAGGTTCAACAATCCGGACGAGGCGCAGATGATGCGATCGGCGATGGGCTCCAACGAGAGGATTTCAATGCCCCAGATCGATTTTACGCAATCGGCGAGGCAGGCCCACGAGCTGAGTCAATCCCTGGAGCTGGAGTCCTTCTACGAGAGCATTATCAACCCGATTAATAATCCCTCCACCTACGAACTGGAGTGTCCCAAGGTGTTCTCCTCCGATTTGGTCACGGTCAACATGCCGGCCAAGGATGTCTTGGGCCAGAAGTATGCCAGTTTTGCACGTAATCTCGCCGAGAATCATCGCAACGAGAAGCAGCTAAACAATCAGTTTGCCAAGGGAGTGGGCAACAATAGCGGGTACTGGAATGTGCCCAGCAATGCGGCGATCTACAAGGAGCAGCAACAACAGCAGGCTCCCCCGGATCTGCTGACGAAGGTCAATAATGATCGCTACGATCGTTATCCTAAAGCGGGTGGCCTGCAGATCTACTCAATGAACGGTGTGAATAGCGATATCAATAATGGCCTGGTTTCCGGTCATAATTCTAACCCAGGAGGTGGTGGCGGTGGAGCTGAACTGGAGGATATGCTTAAGATCTGCACCGAGTATGCGGATAGGAACAATTCCATGGCAGCACCCACCCACAACACTTCAAGTACATCCAGCATCACGTCGTCACCGATTGTCCAGAATCGCATCAAAACCAATGGTTCGTTGCCGCGGGACAAGAATAAGTCACCATTTCCCCAGCAGACCGGAGCAGGCAGCTCTGCCAATATTTCGCTATTGAGCAGTTCCTCGGGCTATGAGAATGTGCGCTTGCTGGGACCAAATCGCGTGGAGATCAATGGTCAAATCCATGTGCCAGCCTCAGCAGGCGGAGGAGGGTCATCCAGTGGCGTGGCTCCAACGGCAGCGGTCAGGGCCAGTCATGAGAATCTTAACCAGAACAACTCGGGAACTGCAGGTGGCAAATATGTGCCACAGAGTCCCAGGACCAAGATCCGCACCAACTGCATGTCGCCCAAAAAGGATGTGTCCTTTGGTAATGCCTTTGCCCTGGCCATTAGTCCACCACCCACCCAGGCATCCAATGCTGTGTCCTCAGCACCCATACCTATTCCCATTCCCAGCCTGGTGAAGCCACCATTGGCACCCAAGCCACCGGCTCCAAATCAGCAGCGCGACTACGAGCAGCTCTTCAAATCCTTCGAGCGAAAGCAGCAGCAATTGGATCGCTTGGTGCCCGCCAAGCGATCCAACAAGAACATCAACAATCTCACCCTAAATCTGCAGTCCGTGGAATCGCAGACGCAGTCCCCCAAACCGAGCAGGAAACCAGCTCCGGCACCAAGAAGTATTCATCTGGAGCAGCGCCAGCGGAGGGATCTCATCCAGCGGCGCAAGCAGCTCAAGCGGGAACTCGCCGAACTGCCGCCTTCAGCGGGAATTGAGGGACTGGAGGTGGGTCTTTTGGGCTTCCCAAAGAAATCTTTTTAAACACATTTTAAAAATGTTTAAGAATCTATTACTAAGAATGAAATATTTTCATATAGTTGGAACTGGGTGAGCAGCCCTTGGCCGCCAGTGCCTCACCGCGCCTCCAACTGCAGGCCCTGCAGAATCGCGTTCGACGTCTGGAGGCGCAAAGGAATGCCACTCGCGTCATGGAGGAGAATCAGCAGGCCAAACTGAAGCAGTCCATCGAAATGAAGCAGGATCAGCTGAAGAAGTGAGCTACTATATACAAAATAAAAACCATTTTATTTATATGACTATACATTACTTTTCAGACTGCGAGCCATGTTGAAGCAGAAACCAAACAATGCATGTCTGAAGGAGGAGCTGCAGCTGGTGTGCGAATCTTTGGAGAGCGATAGGAAGACTTTTGAGGACCTGGAGTTTCAGTATTTCGAGGAGGAGTCCGAGCATCATGCCAGTCATGAGGAATTCAAGCGACAGGAACAGCGTCTGGCCCTCGAAGCCGAGTTGGCCGCTCTGCGCATTCAAATCGGTCCGGATGAGGAGGAACCTGGGTCGCCCAGCTCGCCAGGATCCACCGGCAGCAATCTGGTCAATGGCGTCATGTCCCAATCTCTGTTTGGCTCCGCCGAGCTGCTCTGTCCGAAGCGACGAAACCAAGAGGATTTGATGTCCAAGAGCGTGAACGAGAATATGTTTTATAATCATAAAATCGAAGCCAACACCAGTACGCCGAAGCGTCTGCCGCTCCAGCTTTTCGAGGACTTGGGCGGTGGTAGCTGCGAGCAGATCAGCTTCAATCTTTCACTGCAAGGCGATCGGTTCGAGGTGAATCCGCTGGAGCGACGTGTGCCATCGCAGGACGACATCGATCGCAGCTGCAAGGTGGCCAACGACGCGCCCATCTCCACCAGTCAGGGCGCCAGCACCAAGATCTTCGACAGCATCAAGGAGATCGAGAGGAATCGCAAGCTTCTGCTAGCCCAGCAGGGTAGGAAAAACTAAAAATTAGATTTATATTTTTGTATAAGGCTACAAAACAAGTTGGTTGTCTTAAATCAATTTATAACAGAGCGTTATACCCTAAATTCTTGTTTTCCAAAAGTGTAAAAAAAAAACACTATTAAAAACTAGTATTGCTTTGCACCAGTGATTTCCAAAACCGATTTGTTTACCTTTTGGCTATGATTGACAATCCGGTTCACTGATTCACAAAACCTCCATGTTTTCGATTTAATTACAAAAATTGATTTAAGAAACAAAATTGTTTTTGCTTATATATTTGTTTACAACCCAACAACTTCTTGTTTTAAACTCAGAAATATTGAACACTTGTTTTAAAAAGTAACGATTATTGGTTACTAACTACCAAACTTCAAACTAAACTACCTTTGGATTTTAATATTTAAACCATTTATTTTCCACAGGTCATCAGGTCATTGAGCACGAGCGCCAGAAGATGTACGATCTGAAAAAGAAGAGCCACGACGAGGCCCGCACCCAGTACTTGCTCTCCACCCAGCAATCGATGGAGCAGCAGCTGCTGCTGCTGGAATCGGATGCCAAGTGAGTTGACCCCCATTCCGAGTCCATCCCTCTACTCCACTGCACCCCCAGCTAATTGAAAGTGCGCCCCCCTGTCGAGTTAATTACCCGAACGGCGACGACAAAGATGCACTTGGAGTGCAGCTTACACTTGAAATCATGCCATTTGCACCCAACAATAAACAATAACGTTCGGGCATAATTTAGCAGATCAGTTTGGGTATTTAACTACCCATTTTAATTAATATATGTCTTATTAAGAGCTTAACTTAATTAATATTGACCAATCTTCCTATCTATTAGCATTCAGCTCAGTTTAGTTTAGTATAAATATCTTATCTTTCACATTGTCCAAAGTTAAATGAAAATTGATTGTTGATTTATTGAAAGTCAACATATATTTATAGCACAAGTGTCTTTTATAAATTAGCTTCTGATTGATTCTGATTTATTAGAATTACTGTAGTTAGAGAAACTTATCGGCTGGAATTATAAATGGTAAATTAATTTTTTATTTTATTTTGTCTGGTCTTGATTTGAAATAATGTAACTAAAGTAAAGTTTTTTGTTATTAACGCTAAATGGTTTGAAAATGTTGTTGTCCAGTGTAAGGTTGAAATGCCTTTTGGTTTGCTCATTGAACTCGCGCCTCTATAATTAATCAAACTTTGTGGCTAATAGCTAAACAATGTGTGCCCACCACTCCACCCGCTTGAAAACCGGTTGTCAAATCACTTTGAAATTTGAATTGAAAACCTAAACAAAACACACACCAAAATCAATAAAGGCAGCGACGACATTCGGCTGGGCAAATAATAAACTTCCATCGATTGGAGTTTTATTTTAGTGCACATTTGCTGATCGGGCGGCGACGTCACCTGAGTAGCTTTTCTTTTTATTTATTTTCATTAGTTTTCTCCGTTTATTTGCGGTGGACAGTGCTGATAATTTTATTTACACAAAAATTATATGGAAGCGGTTTTTAAATCGATTCAGCATTCATAAAAACTAACTAATTTTATCAATTTTATAAATTCTAAATTTAAATATTCTGGGATCTTTAAAAAAAATTTAAATTTCATATTTCAGTGCAAATTTTTATGTAATTTAAAAGATACTCAAATGAGTATTAAATCGTAAACCTTTGCATACTTTTTCATTAAAATATTAATATGACATATTAATAAGTAGTGTAAAAATGTATTTTTTCTTTCTGTGCACCGTTGCTGATAAGCTTATCAGCTGATTGTGTATCCTAGTGTGCGTTTGCCGGAGTATCTATGTGTCTGAATCGTTGAATCGTTTGCCAACTGTTGCTTTCGGATTGTGCATTCACATCCATTCCGTCCGCCCGCTTAGTCAGTTTTTTTGGGCTTTCGGTTTCGCAGTTGGAACTCGAGCGTTAAACAAATCGGAATCGGGAATCGAAGTCCGCCCGGGAATGAGTCATTCTAGATAAATAATGTATCGAATCAACGCGATGATTCCCTGCTGGTATGATGATCAATTTATAAAGAAAAACGATGACAGTGGTTTGTGATAGAAAATAAATTTAAAGCACAAGCGGCTCAAGCTTTATTAGCTAGTGGTTGTATTAAGCATATAAAGCATGCCAAAAAGTTAAGCCGAAAACTAATAAAACAAGTTGTGGATTAAGTTAATATGGATATGTGTGTGTCAGTGTAAATTTTCAATTATTGAAATCTAAATCAAAACAATACAAATATTTCGTTAAAGATATGATGTGATGAAATATAAACATAGTTTTTACAAATTGAACCCGAAATAAATAATCGATGTTTAAATAGTTTTGCATTTTTTATTTGTATGTGATTTAATTTATTGGTTTTTTTGTGAGCCAATAGCAATAATTGATTTTTAAACTAAATTTTCTGCACTTTATCTTTCTTGATTGCATTTAAAATTTATATATTTTAAATCAGGAAGCCCCCTGATACTTTGCTGATTATACCATATATTTGGATATATTATATTTAAAATGTAGCAATATCTTTTTCCATATAACCCATTATTTATTCTCTTGACTTCTCTCATTTTTGCAGCGGCGGCAAAGATGCGAAATTATTTGAGAAGACCGAGATGCAAAAGCTCAATAAACCAGGTGACACAGTGGATGAGCAGGTGCAAAAGACCGGTGGCGATAAGGAGAACAATGTGCAAAACAGAAAGTCAACTGGCAGCAGTCCTACAACAGCAACAACAACTGGAACGACACCTCAACAGGTGAGCAAATCAGAACTTGACCCCGCCACAAAATTGATGACCTAGGCCAAACAAAATGAAAACGTTTCAGTCTGTTTGTTATTGTAATTATGTTTCACCCGGCTTCCGGGAAAATTTTGTAGTGGAAAACGCAATTGCCCCCTCCCTTTTTCTACCCACCATTTGATGTGCTATTTCCTTTCTGTCCATAAACAAATAAGGTTTAGTGAAGAGCCAGATGAATTTGTAATTCCACAGAACCATTGTTGATTAATGCTGCTATAATTTTCCCATGATGCCTGTTTGGTTTTTCAAAATTTATTTTTTGTTTTATGTAGTCATTTCAATCGCTTACAAATTCAAATGGTGTAAGGTGTCCTTTTGCGAAAACCCTCTTGAAAAAATTGTTTACCATCTTATAATATCAAGTATTTTTACTTTTAATCATGCAATTATTTTCCCATAATAGTTTTTTCTTATGTACACATCTAGATATATAGTAAAGTGCACTGTGTATGGGGTTTAACAATTGCGATAAGGCATCGTGTGCATTTCTTTGGGGTTTATTAAACAACTGCGCTCAGATAACAAAAAAGTGTAAATAAATGATTCCACAAATGGAGCTGATAACCGATAATGATGCTTTTTAGTGTGAATTCTACCTTGAAGTGGTTTAAGTTTGCCTTGATCGGAATTTATTTGATTGCTAAGTGAAACATTCTTGAAAAATGTATTATAGATTAGAGTTCTTGGAAATTATCTGCTAATATGTTTACGAGCTACTAAATTCTTGCAATTAGAGTAGATTACACGTCAATAAGTTTATAATAAAATCATAAAGCTTACAAACAGTAATATCTTTTACACTTTTTACATTTTTAGATTTAAGTAAAAAAATATTAAGTTATTATTAAATAAAGCTCAATAGAAATTAAATTTGTGTATATAAAGTTAAGTTTTTGTTATGGGATAGATGAAACGCCATCCAAAAATACAATCCAAATTTTAACTAGGCTGTTTTTGTTATTATTAAGAAATGTATTTATTTATACTGTATCAGTAAACGACTTTCCATTTGGATATACAAGTTGAATTTTTTTTCTTATCGTTTTCTGAATCACCCTTCAAGTTTTATTATAAATACCTACTTTTGATTTGTTATCGCTTATGTACTTTTTACAGTTGTTAAATTTTATTAACATCAACATTTTTAAATGGTGAAAATGATGAACTCTTTGTTACATTTCTTGATAGGACGATTAAAATGTGTTATTGAATTACGTTTCATTTAGTTTTTGATTACTTGTTTTCAGAGAATAGTCTTAGTCATGTTTTTTCTTTGTTGTTAGTTCTCAGTAAATCCACTTTTAATTTATAATTTGGTTTTTGTTTGTACAAAGTATACAAATTTACGAGCTTGGTTCGTAATTTATTTATTATGATGTGTACTTGTTTTGATGATTTTTCATTGCGTCTCGAATATATAATATTTATTCAATTTTGTGTTTCATTTTTTGTATTGAACGATATTTTGTAGTTTAGTTTATCGTTTGTAATTTCGTTATATATTTAGTAAACTAATTGACACTGAACTACCCTATTATTTATGCATTGGTTTTCAAGATCACAAGTTCATAAAGACATAAGTGCCAAAAGCTTAAAAGATATAGGCTAAGAGAAAGAGAAATAGTGGGAGTGAGATCCTCTGGGTAATTTAGGAAAGCTTGTTTCTCTTGTCATGCACTCAGAAAAATTCCAATATTATATTATTTTGGATACAAATTCAAACATTAGCTTTAATATATTTCTTATGATCTAGTTACTGAAGTTTTTCTTAAAACTAAAATGACAAACAACTAAATACCGTATAGGTGAAAGTTGTTTTAATCAAATTTGACTAATTTTACAAAGTTTTGATTTTAATTATCACTCTTGATATTATTGTTTTATTTCTTTGGCTCTAATTTCCAAGTAGTTTTTAGTTGTATACAAATGGATCAATGCATTAAGTACTATTCCTACACATTTATTCCCAAAAACTATTCGTTCGTCATACATTTTATATATTTTCCTGAGTGCATCCAGTAGGATGACGATCAAATCTATCGCCAGCTCGTTAGTCACGAGTTGTTGGCCGCCTCGGCATTTTGTTTGCTGTTTTATTTTAGCCCCTGTTTATTTTAAAAAAGGAACCCCACCACCGCGTCGTGCTCTCAATTGCGGATTCTATATGGACTACACTTATTAATAAGTTTAATATTTGCTGTGGTCTTTGTTTTATTTTGCTTGTCCATTTGGCGGCTCTCTCTTAGTTACGCGTTACGTGTGTGCTCCGCATTTTCGGCCGTGTTTACGTTCTACCTCGATTTTTAGCCTATTTGTTTACTCGTTTACCGATCTCGCCAATAGACTGGCCATCGTTATCTTCTCCCGTTCATTGGCCACAAAAATCCGCGGCCCATTACGGGTATAATTACCTCGATCTGGCTCTCGATCCTCCGACTGCTGGACAATGTTAATGTGCGCCCCATTCGAGATCCGTCGTAAAGGCTGAAAGTCGGAAAGTCTGAAAATCGAACAAGAAGCGGCGGCCGCCTCATCATCATCTGTGTGTCGGAAAATCGCTTAGTTAGTTGCCCATTTCCACTGGAAGCGCAAGTGATTTTCAAGAATATATCCCATCCGGTTGTTCTGCCAAATTTTCTCGTTGATATGTCCGTGTGGATGACTTACGTGCAGCATCGACGCACGGATGCAAATGCACGCCAGCGCAATGAGTTGTACTATCTAGTGAGTGGACTTGGGAAATATTAGCCGACAATTTTGAACCCATTTTTTTCTGAACGCGATTCATATTAATCCTACGAATTCGGTTTTATTGTGGTTTTATTAATATCAAAGGAAATCTAGTACAATTTTGAATAAATCAGCCCCTCGTGCCACAAAAATTAGAATTAATTATTCCCACATAAACCATTGTGTTTAATATTGATAAAAACAAATGTGAAATGCCAATCAGGCTATAATATTTAAATATAAAACTATTTCAATTAAACAATGCATTTAAAAATGCCACAAATAAAAATACAAGTGCCAATGTAATACAAGAATTTTTAAAGCAAATATTTAAAGAATCAAAATAAATATATATGTAGTTTACTAATTTAAAGAAAGGACTTTTGGAAAATAAACCAAAATTAAAAAAAAAGATAAAATGGAAAAAAAAGTAAACAAAAAAACAAAAAACCATTGGGAATACAATCCGAAAGTAAAATTTGTTAAAAGTGATGAAAAATGTGAAAAATATACGAAATGCAAAGCTATATTATTGGATATTTATCGGCCAAATATTATTTTTAGCTCAAAAACACAAGGCAATAAAAACCTATTAACAATCGATTTTTCTTAATCATTTCAGCAACGCCATTCGCAACCGGAACTGGAGCACCATGCCATTGCCCTGGGAATGGGTGGCGTCAGCGGAGGAGGCGGTGGCAACCAAATGGTGGTCCGTAGTCCACGCCCACTCTCCGAGGCCAACAATTGCGATGCAACGCTCGAGGCGCCCAAGTTCGTTAACGGAATGGACTCCTCCGCGTCGCCGGCGACGGAGAACAAGCGGGCCAGCAGCAATTCACATGATACGGCATCGGCGGGCAGCGGAAGCGGGAACAGCGGAAGCGGAGGCAGCACCGCCAGCGAACGGAAGCGCATTCTGCCAAAGCACCAGCGCCCGCTCACCCGCTACCTGCCCATCTTCTCGCCGGATCTGAATCTGCGCCACCACATCGAGACCGCCGGCCACCAGATCGATCTGTGTCCGCACGTCTTCGTGGACGCCCACAGTTGTCGCGGGTAAGTTTTCCATCTAAAACCATATATAAAATATATTAGTAACCAAATGTGTTTCTGATTTAATCCCAGTTACCTCCACAAGCTGGGCGCCACGTTTCACGCGTGGTCGAGGCGCTGGTTTGTCCTGGATCGCCAAAGGAGCGCCTTGATCTACTACTCGGATAAGTCGGAGAGGAAGCCAAGGGGCGGTGCCTACTTTGCAGTAAGTATGGCCAAAAAATGGCTTCCACAAACTTGAAATGAAGAAAGCAAATAGTTAGTAGTAACTTTTTAACAGAATTTTTACAATTATTTTGAAAAGTAATTTTTTCCTATTTTTAAAAGCTAAATTAAATGGGCAAATATTATGGGAAGTTATACAAATTTTTAAATAATAGCGTATTTATTTTTGCTTTCACAGACCATCGACGAGGTCTATCTGGATCACTTGAATGCCTCGAAGAGCGGCCGGCCGCATTGCACTTTTATTGTGAAAACGAAGAAGCGAAGCTACAATTTGCAGGCCGCATCCGATTCGGCGGCGCGAATTTGGATCGATGCCATCATCACCGGAGCCCAGGGAAATCTGGACTACTAGAGGATCCAGCGGAGGACTTCAATAACTTCTGCCCAGTGCACAGTCTCAGCATTAGATGGGAAGGATTTTTAATCTATAAGTTTAACTAACTATAACAAAGAAACAAATGAATACAAAACAAAACGATAGCCATGTAGGACCAGGAAAAAAATTGCTCATCACAAAGAGCAAAAGGAACCTATAACTTTCTCTTTTTTGGCGAACTAAAGAAATCCGAGATTTCAGTACTGGACCAAAGTCAAGAACGTATTTTTTTATAGACCTATTTTATTATGTATGTACATTTTACTTTGTCATATTCTGGTTAAGAACTATTTTTCTATCGCTAGATTTAGAATTGTAAATCAAGGACACCCATGCTACTAACACCGCCATTTCAAACCGTAATCATATAGATACCCTTATAGAGTTGTGACCAATAGTGGCGGTGGCCCAATATCACTGAAGTTTTGAATTTTGAGTTTTGAATTTTAAACGTTTCTTTCCGCGGCTAAACCTAATTTTTTTTTGTACATTTATATATTAAGAAGGAAAATTAAGCTATGGATAACGGATTTTATGGCCTTGCATTTTTAAGGGCCCTGCTATTATTGGCCACGTATCTATATGATCACATATATATCATAAACCCTAGACTATATTTATATACATATACAAATTGTATAACGATTTAAATGTAACAACCAAAATGACTCCTGAACACTTGAAGTTTCATCGTGAATTTACCTATTAACTTTATTATATTGTACGCCTAACTATTATATTTTATAAAAATATACCATATATTTTGATAAATATATAATTGGAACAATCGAACCGAGAGATAGGGGGACAAGATATTTGCCCATTACTAAGCCTAAGACTAAAACTGAACTTTGAACGATTTGCTCAGGCAGGCTGGAAAGGATAATCAAAAGCAAAACTGTAACTGAGTAACATGAAAATAATTTTAAACAATAACTATAAATACATATGTGTAACAATACAAGCTAGTTAATAAAAATAATTGTTTTTTTTAGATAAACAAATCTGTTTTTATTCAATTTGAAAATGTCAAAAAATATAAGATATACAAGTCTGGTTAATAAGGAACTTAAGTTCTTGTTTTTTAATTAACTTCTATTGAATTCAAGTATTGGGACTTTTAAAAGTAAAATGTTTCTTTTTTAAAGAAGCTAAAGAGACAAATTGATTTAATCAATAAAAAAAATTAATTTTATAAAAAAAAATTAAATGTCAATAAAAAGTAAACAAAGTTAACATTTTAAAGAACTTAAATTAAATATTCTTGTTATAATACTTTAAATACAATATTTGGTATCACTTTTTATGATTATTCAATGTCTCAACGACAATTTTTCTTTTATGTCGAATTGTCAATCAAATTTAAATGTAACTTAATTTAATAGGTACTTCTTGTATTATAAATGCTACATTTAGTCTCAAATTTTATTGTTAGAATAGGGCTTTAAGAACTATTCTCACAAAAAAAAGTTAATATCCGTATCGCTGGTTATCCTGTGGAAATAGTATTTTTCCTGAGAAAATATCTGTTATCACATCGATGAGAAAATAATATTATTATATTAGTTAAAAGCATATAAATACTTTTGGCATCACATTAAATTTAATCAATATTTGAACCAAAATAATTTTGAAAATTATTTATGATTACCAAAAGACTGCAAAGAATGTCATTATAAACGATTAACAATTACCCGTCTACAAGATTATTCAAAATTGGTTATTTGATTACCGCGAATAGAACTTTAAGAGCTATCCGCGGCCGCCAAGCGATATACACAAAACATATACCGAAAATGAAATGTTTACAAATTTGGACTTTGCTTGAGAACGTGTTTCAGGTGTTGTTTGTTATACGCAAATAGTGAATACATTAGAGGCACTATTGTCTGGCCCCAGGGCCGATTTTGTTTACAAACACAAATGTTGTAAATTCATCTATATAAAACTACAAAAGGTATTCAAAATATTTCTGTGAGCGATGGTTATAAATCTAAAGTAGTACCAAATCAATGGCGAATTGGTTTCGGACAAAGTGGAGTGTAGTGCCTTTCCCAAACGTTTAAGGCGAACCCCAACTGTCGGTGCGTCGCCGCTTAGCCATCTGCATCCCCAGTTCCTCGTCCTCATAACGATCCAGATACTGCAGCAGCCAGCGGGCGAACTCGTTCATGTACGGATCGATTCGGGAGATCACGCTGAAACTGATTACCGCCGGCGGTGCCAACTGCTCCTTCGTCCCGAAAATACGCTGCACAAAGTGCTCGCAGTGGAAAATCGCCACACAAACGTCCGATTCAAGGACCTCCAGACGCAGGGCCAATTTAGCAAAGGATTCCGCAAATTGCTTCAGCACAATGTACGTCTTGCTGGAGAAGACAGCTGGAAAAGAGAGAGATGTAATTCGTTAGATGTCATCAATTAGAAGAGTAGAGGAACACAACCACTATCGAAATGGTAAGTGACATACAGTGCAATTAAGAAAATGAAATAGTCGTAGTAGTATTATGACTGCATGCACAGCTGTGTTTTAAAATAGTCGGTGCATAATTTCTTAAAATATACTATACTATTATTAAATGTATGGCTTTTCAGCATACACATCCATAAACCATACAAAACATAATTTAATTAATTTAAGTGGTAATTCTGGAATGTCCTCACGAAAATAAAACTAACTATTTGGTTAAAACAATTTGTCACATTTTAAAAGCAATCAACTACTTTTTTGTTTTTAGCCCAGAGTTATAAGTACTAATTAATCCACTTACTCGGTCGCTCTTTTCTGGAGATCACATAGTACTTTTGCAGCATGTACTGGGCCTTATCGTTGAATGTGGTCTTGCGTCGGTGCAGCAGATGTATGAGCATACGCATATCGTCCTCGGCAATATTTAGTCCATCGTGAGACATATTTTGTCCTTCTGCGCTGTGCCGCTGAATAATGAAGTTCCAGAGGCTGTCGCTAACCTGATCACCCATATAAATGGGCAGGCCAAAAATCCTACAAAATACATACAATTAATATAAAAGCAAAGTTTAAAGTTTTCTCCAACTTACGGGCACAATTTGGCAAGGGCCACCGTCTGATTGGTGGAGTTCTCGGGCTGCCAGTGCGTCCAAACGGCCGCCTCCAAGTGCTGTTCAATTTGCAACTGCGGCACCGGCACCGCTCCATTTTCAATGCACTTCTCCAGCTGGCAGCTCTGCTCCTTCGACAAGCGCGTCCAGTCGCCGGCGTAATACACACCCTGCTGGGCCATCAATAAGGGACAGGCCACAATCCAATTGAAGCGCGTAGGCAGGGCACTGAAGGTCGGGTGCAATCCATAATCGTGCGGTCCAAGGAAACGTGGAGCCAGTTGGCCCACTTTGTTCATAAGGCGATTGGCCATCAGGCTGTCGGTGGCAATGATGCACAGTGAAATCGGGGCCCGCAACTCATCGGGTTCAATCGAAACGATGCTGGCCAGCAGCACCATCTTCAGGTAAACATAGCAGTCCATGGGCACACACTCCTGACAGAGCTGAGCACTCAGAGCGTAGACAAAGGCATAGTCGGAATACTGCGACGAGATCAGATGATGCAGCTTCTTGATGCTAGATGGCACGCAGTTCAAATCCGGCTTGGGATAGTCCTGACCATGCTCTGATGGCGCACGGAATATCTTGTGACGCTCGAGGGGTGGAACTGTGTCCCTAGCGACGTCGGCGTTTTCCCCGCCGTCTGGGTCGTCGACGACCAGTGGCTGCAGGTTCTGCAACGGCGATCCCCACCCCCATTCCTGGTCCTGCTGCTCCAGTTGGGTATCCTCCTGGTCCATATCCAATAACGGTCGGCTGTACAACAGGTCCTCGTCCGGAGACTCCTGCTGCTGCTGATCCTCCATAGGCGGCGAGCTGAGCGTATGAGATAATTGGCTGGGGCCGGATATACTGGACGGGAGGCGGCTGGGGCTGTTGGGCTGGCTGGGGCGTGACCAATCGGTAAGCATATCCGTATTGGGGGTGCCCACACCAGTGCACGGGAGGCTGGCAAGCCGAAAAACCGACTGGCTGGCATTGCTGCTCCTTATGTCGATGGGGATCTGCGACGGAGGGTTGCTCCAAATCTGTCCCGACTGCGGATTGTAGCAGATCATGGGCGGCGGATTGCTACCGAAATGCACCTGGATCGTTTCCGGCGGAGTGTTGGTCAGAGTGGATATGACTGGTGGTGGGTTGGCCGCCGGTTGAGGAGGAGGAGCTGCCGCAGGTGTATAGTGTCCTTGTGCTACAGCCGGGGCACTGTAGTAGTCGCCAGGCCGCACAAAGGGTGTGGGCAGCAGTCCATGGGTATTTTCTTGTCTGTAGACCGGACTTTGGCTGGGCAATGACTGCAAGTTGTTCTGATTTAAGGAGCGCAAGAAACGCTGGCGACGACGTCTCCTCTGTGGTTGTCAGAATATTGTGTTATAAAATGATTTATCCATCTATAAATATAGTTCAACTTACGCTCATTTTGGATCCGCCGTGAAAGCCGTGTTCTGGCTGCCACGCCTGATTCGATCCTCCTGGCGCACGCTGCTCCCTGGGCCGGAACTCCTGGGCATCCGAATTCAGCTCGCTGCGCATGGCTAACTGTCGGATCTGACGGCTTGGCTGCTGTTCCAGCAGTCGTTTCACCTGGTTTCTGCTTAGCTGCTGCTGCTGCACACATCTCTGCACCTGGCGCGGCACGACCCCTTCCTGTGGCGATCCCTCCGTCGAGGACTGCGAATGCATAAAGTCCTGGCTCGTCGACTGCAGACTGCGCGCCACCCGCTGGTTGTCGAAGCGTCGCGGAAATCTCCACATGGATTTCTGGCTTTGGCTGATTGGCGTCGGGGGCACCATATCGTCATCCTCATCGCCGCCGCCTTGGTGACCTCGAGGAGGACTGTGCGGAGTTGGCCGCTGGCTGCGCTGACCTTCGAAGGCGTGAATTGGTATCGAGGAAACGTTTACGCCAAGTGCAGGACTTTTGGGTTGCTGGTGCTGTTGGCTGGGATTGCCAGGTCTCCTGAGCGGTTGCTGCTTTAAAGGACTTACAATGCCCTTCTGCTGTTGCTGAATGAGTTGGCCAGGAGACTTCTTCTGCTGCTGTTGGAACTCATTCCCGGGACTCTTCTGCTGCTGTTGGAAAGAATTGCCGGGACTCTTCTGCTGCTCCTGTAAAGGCTTAGCCAAACTCTTCTGCTGCTGCTGTGCATCATTGACAGGACTATTTTGCTGCTGCTGCTGTGCAGTAATGGCAAGAATCTTTTGCTGCTGCTGCTGCTGTGCAGCAATTGCAAGACTCTTTTGCAGATGCGGTTGTGCGGCATTGACAGAACTCTTTTGCTGTTGCTGCTGTGCAGCATTGGCTAGATTCTTTTGCTGTTGCTGCTGTGCAGCATTGGCTACATTATTTTGCTCTTGCTGCTGTGCAGCATTGGCAGGACTCTTTTGCTGTAGTTGCTGTGCAGCATTGGCAAGACTATTTTGCTGCTGCGGCTGTGCGGCATTGGCAGGACTCTTTTGCTGTAGTTGCTGTGCAGCATTGGCAAGACTATTTTGCTGCTGCGGCTTTGCGGTATTGGCAGGATTTTTTTGCTGCTGGTGCTTCCTTGCAGCATTGGCTAGACTCTTTTGCTGCTGAGTCTGTGCGGCATTGGCAGGACTCTTTTGTTGGTGCTGCTGTGCTTCATTGGCAGGACTCTTTTGTTGCTGCTGCTGTGCTTCATTGGCAGGACTCTTGTGTTGCTGCTGCTGCTGTGCGGAATTGGAAAGACTCTTTTGCTGTTGCGGCTGTGCGGTATTGACAATACCTTTCTGATGTGACTGCTGTGCGGCATTGGCAAGACCATTCTGCTGTGGCTGCTGTGCGGCATTGGAAAGACTCATTTGCTGCTGCTGTAAAAGATTACAAGGGCTCTTCTGCTGCTGCAAGGAATTGACAGGAGTCGTCTGCTGCTTCTGTACAATATTGTCCGGAGTTTTCTGCTGCTTCTGGGAGGGCTGGCCAGCCACTTTCTCCTCCTGCTGCTCCTCCTTTCTCAACAGAATGACTTTGTTTGGAGAAGAACTATTTGACTGATCGTTGCCCGTCTGTTGACTATCAGCAGGACGCACTGAATCCAGCCACTTCGCCACCGTTTGCTGCCTGTTGTCGACCACTGTCGGACGCACCGGTTCCGGCAGAAAGTTGCCCAGCACTGGTGGATCGACCAAGCGACCGCGACGACCTCGGAAACGACGCCGGGAATTCGGCGATAATATGATTTCATCATTATCAGAATTGGCCAGCGGTGGAGTGGCTTGTTTGGCTCTCTTTAAACGCTTTCCCAAATCGGGAAACTCCTCTGTATCCACACTATAGTTGCTGTCGGGCTGGTCGATTTCGGCAGTCGGGTGCCAGAAGTTCACACTTGAATGTGTCTCTGGTGTGGGCGTCATAATAGGAGTCACATCGCTTTCGGGAAGGCCATTCGATGGAATGGAGCTGGAAATTATGGGGATATATAAGCAAAAGGTATTTGTAATGATCTAGCGAGGATATCCTACCCAACGGAGCTTGTATTGACGTTTTGAGATTTATTGCTCGGTACTGGAGACTGATTTCCAGATTGACTTATGTTTTGGAACTGCTCGTAATCGCCGCGAAGGAAGTCGTTGAGCTGAACGGCGCTACGCCGACGGCGATTTTTGTTCTCTAGGTGCTTTTTAGATGGCATGCTTCCAGCTGATAGGTGCTTGCCGATCCGGCGAAGTAGCCAGTGATGAGGTAGCTAGATCCTAACTTTAATTCACAGTCGTAGGCGTGGGCTGGAATAAGCAATAGTAATAATTATTAAAAATATTATCTTAGGTCTCCAATCTAAGGTTTAGTTGGAAAAGTAATCGGACAAGTAATACTTGTATTACTACTATAGTAAGGAAAGTTCTACCAATGACCAACATCATACAAACTCACCTCGCAGACGGATCAATTTGGGGCGATGTAGGCAACCGGTGGTCCGTGGTGTCTGAACTGCGGAGCTGGGCAGAATGGCTAGGAGGCGAAAGGTTTCTGTGATGCGCAACTTTTGGTATTCACTCATGGGCCGCGAACAACCAGAACACAAGGGAGCTGCAATATATATATAAAGAAGATTAAAATCGGATCTCGAAGAGAGTTGGTACGAAATTCTGTGGGAAATATGTTAAGGAGATGATGCCTATGAATGGTTAAAGTTTACAAATGGTAAGGTATTAATTTTGCCATAATTTGGATAACATGATTGGGATTTTTGTGGGATCCTAGCCTATAGGACGTACCATCCGTTGAGCTGGTCTGTATGGCATTGCGCATACAGCCGCTGCCGCAGTACCAGATCGATTGCAGGCTATAATGGAACATGTAGAAATCAGGAAATATAGTTTACCTCTTCGGTAACCGAAGCTTGGAATACCCCAGCAGAGAAGCTTTACAAAAACTTATGTGCTAATTTATACATTTCAGAAAAGGATAACAATAAATAAAATACATATACGATTGTTGAGAAAATGTTTAACCAAAAATCTGCATTAACAAAAAATATTCAAATAAATAATAATAAGCAAATACATATCGCATAATAAAATAAATAAAATACAATGGTTCAGGTAAAATACTTGTAAACTTATACCAAAAGACATCCCAAAACAGTATTGAAATAAGATAGAATAGATTTGGAATGATAGAAATTGTTCAACAGATAGACATGGTTTAAAAATAATTATTAATATTAAGGTGTGGATAGTTAATCTACAAGGAAATGTATTGAAACACCATAAAACACAAGGTGTCCAATTGAAGATATGATATACAGAAACTACAGAACACTCAGAAAACACAGTGTGTTAATGGAAGTGAAAGCAGACGGATATGTTTTGGGGACTCGAGCGATTCTCTGCCAGGAATCGCGGCTTACACCAGAGTCTCCTGCGGCGTGAAGGCGGCCAGGATGCCCTGCACCTGGGCCAACCCCAAGCGCAGCGACTGATCCTGGGACTCGAACTGGAGGCCCGGGGTGTAGGGCAGTCCCACCAGGCGCCAATGCGCGTGCAGCTGGTTTATGTCGACGGGTTTCAGGCTGGCGGCTTTAAGATGCGACCTGACCAGGCCGTAAACGCAGTACCGAACGGCCTGTTCGAATTGCAGCGGTTCCTCGACGATGTGCTGCAGGAGTTTGGGTGACTTCTCAAGGAGCTGGCGGTACTCAAAGTCCAGGCGCAACTGGATGGGGGCCAGAAGGTCCTCCGGCCGCTGGGATTTCCTATAATTGGCCACAAAACGGCCAGAGGAGCCCTCGACCAGCTTGAGCAGCTGCGTCTGCCGGCAGAACTGCTCCACCAGCTTCTGCTCGTGGAATCTGCATTGTATATCGGTTATGGTGTGTAGCGTGTGGTATAGCGTGTATATCACGTGTAATTTGTGAAAAAAGGTCAAAGTATCCCGTTTTCTGGCCGGGATTGCCGTGCACTTACTGGCTATTCAATCGAGTCTCGGTGGGTACTGCTAATTCCGAACGTGCATCCACTGTGAACATCTTACTCTAAATCCGGAAGTGGTAACGAACTCAACTCAACTTCTGTAGCGCCTCCGATCCGATCAACAAACAATTTAATAGAAAAAAAAACCCTTTGGAACCCTAAAAATAATGAAAACGTTTTTGAAAGGTTTGCGCTTCAGTGTGAACTTTAACGTCTCGTGTTTAGAATACCAAATTGTCTTGACACATGGTTTGCGTACGGTCACACTAAAAGCTGTGCTGCCTGATTGCTAAAGTATTTTTTCGACAGCGCTTTTAAAACAAAAGAATTATTTTCAAAAAAACACCAGCTCAAATATTTGTATTGATTCAATATGCACAATGCATAAATTTAAAAAAAAACTTAAAAAGTGATTAGAAAAAATTTTAAATGATATCGATAGAAAAGGGTTGTCGAGAGGCCATCAATAAAGGGTTGTCGAGAGACCATGAATAAAGGGCTGTTTAGTTTTAATTTTTAAAATAAAGATTTATCCAATAATTTAGGTGATTTTTACATGGCAGCCATTATACAAACCATTTACATTTTAAACTGAAATGCAGAACTTTTATTTAGTCTTGAAAATTAAAATAATAACATTAAATAAAGGAAGAAATAGCTTTGTGCGCTTTCTGAAAAGAAAAACATCTGCAAATTTGAAAACAAACTCCAAAATCAGTCTTTTCTTCCTGACAATCTGGTTTATTCAAAACTAAAAACTATTAAAAAAAAGATTGGTTTACATTGGATTTTTCATCTTGTTGTTTATTTTAAATTTAGTGTATCATTTCGCAGTGTACACACGTTATTTGTATAAAAAAAAACAGACAGAAGTTTGTTTTTGCTGGTGATGATGTCTCCTTAACGGTTGGACTTGGCGACACGCTCCAACTCATCCTTCTTCTTGATGGCGTACGAGTTGGAAGAACCCTGGAAATAAAATAAAATAGATAATTAGTAATTGTGTTTAATGTTTTTCGTATTTAAAACTTTTGTCCTAGTTTAGGCTATTGTTCTTTTACGTTTCTCGTGTGCATTGAACTGAAATGCTATTACAAGCACAAGGATAATAAAGGATAAGGATTAATCTGGTCCAAAAGCGAGTCTACATAAATAAACCATGATGCAGAATTAGACTGGACCTATTATTGACCGATAACTGCTTTGATTTATATATTAATTATGTTCTTTTACGTTTCTCGTGTGCATTGAACTTGGATATTATCACAAGCACAAGGATAATAAAAGATGGGGATTTTTCTGGTCCATAAGCGAGACTACATCACTAAACCATGATGCAGAATTAGATTGGACCCCCTAGTTTTCTAATAGTTTAAACTCTTAATTTGATCAATGTTCTTTTACGTTTCTCATGTGCATAGGACAGTAAAGTGGTCACTAGCACAAGGATAATAAGAGATTTGGAGGTTGATCTGGTCTACAAGCGAGGCCAGGCATTTTGTGACACAATGCCAGGCATTAGAGGAGACCCCTTGATTCTCATATTTCTCATTTTAAATTTCTAAATTCCTCACCTTGGCGGCGTTGATCAGCTCATCAGCCAAGCACTCGGCGATGGTCTTGATGTTCCTGAAAGCAGCCTCACGAGCTCCAGTGCACAGCAGCCAGATAGCCTAAAAGATTGTTGAAAAACGTTATCAGTAAGTATATACACAGGATTAATTAGTAGCACATCTTGTAGGGTTTCAAGATGGAAATGTCTCTTCGTTTCATACGCCAAATGTCGGCTAAATTACACATTATGACGCTACGGATATTAGATAGAATTTCGATCTAGCCAGGAATTATAAGCAAGCAGTCGCCAACCGAACCACAAGCCATTGCTACCGGCCACTATCTTCATATCTGCCAAGTCTTTTGAAGAAACCCACCTGGTTGACGCGACGCAGGGGCGACACATCCACAGCCTGGCGACGGACGGTACCGGCACGTCCAATACGGGTGGAGTCCTCACGGGGTCCGGAGTTGATGATCGCACTGACCAGGATCTGCAAGAAATCACAAGAAGAAATTTAATTAAACACGCTGTCACTATAGACCACTTAATAGAAAGTATATCAAACGGAAATGTTGTTTTAATTTCCAGGAGAGCAGGAAGTGGTTTAATCTTCGGGCACAAGGATAGTTAAAACAATTCAATTTAATATTAGTCCGTTTTTGGTGATGCTCAGTACGACAAGGTATATTTAAACCGTCTGGCATAGAGTTGGACTGAAAATGAGTTCTAAGAATGGAGGTTTGTTGATTTATGGCTTTATTAAGGTTGCATCTTTTAGCCGATGCCCTTAAGAGGAATAGCTAATCATGGGGTTTCCTGTGGTCCAATTGAATACCACAACGTTGTGAAGATCAACGCTGCAGTTTTAGTTTTGGACGGGTAAAAATAATATGAATGCAATTTTTTTAATTTATATTGTTGTTTTAATTTCCAGGAGAGCAGGAAGTGGTTTAATCTTCGGGCACAAGGATAGTTAAAACATTTCAATTTAATATAAGTCCGTTTTTGTTGATGCTCAGTACGACAAGGTATTTTTAAACCGTCTGGCATAGAGTTGGACTGAAAATGGTTTCTGAGTATTGGTTTTTGTTGATTTATGGCTTTATTAAGGTTGCATCTTCAAACCAATGCCCTTAAGAGGAATAGCTAATCATGGGGTTTCCTGTAGTCCAATTGAATACCACAACGCTGTGAAGATCAACGCTGCAGTTTTAGTTGTGGACGGATAGTAATGTCTTTAATAAATGCTTCATTTCTAATATTACCCTAAAACCTGCCTATTTAAACCGTTCGTCTTTAAACAATTCGACTGAAAATGATATTGCTTTAAAGGTTTTTGTTGAATATTGCTTTATTAAGGTTGCATCTTCGAGCCAATGCCCTTAAGAGGAATAGCTAATCATGGGGTTTCCTATGGTCCAATTGAATACCACAACGCTGTGAGATCAACGCTGCAGTTTTAGTTTTGGACGGATAAAAATATCTTCAATAAATACGAAATTTCTTATGTTGTCTTAAATTCCAGGAGAGCGGGAAGTGGATTAATCTTCAAGCACTAGGATAATTAACACTGTTTACTCTGAGTCTGTTATAAAGTATGCTTTAGTTGGGATGGAGTTTCCTACAACTAGCATTGAGGTCGACTCGTCATAAAAAAACCTATAATTCATGATTATCAAATGTTTCTTAATGTTGTCTTAAGTTCCAGGAGAGCGGGAAGTGGTTTTATCTTCAAGCACAAGGATAGTTAACACTGTTTCCTATGAGTCCCTTATGAGTTTATGCTCAGTTTGGCTGAAGTTTACCAATAACTGGCATTGAGGAGGACTACCCTAAGATTTATTTTGAATTTTTGATGTAGCTTTAAGTTCCAGGAGAACGAGAAGTGATTTTCTATCTTCAGGCACTAGGATAATTAAAACTCTAATTCACTATAAGTCCATTTAAGAGTTGATGCTTCGAAAAGTATGTATTAATAACTAGCCAGCATTGAGGAGGACTAAAATCTATTTCTCATTACATGGATGGTCTAAAAATTCAAATGTTTCAGTTACATTGAACAGTAGATTTTGTAAATAATAGGTATTGTCCTTAGTGATTGTATTATCTTGTAGTTTTAAGTTCCAGGAGAACGAGAAGAGGCTTGGCTATCTTCAGGCACTAGGATATTAAAACCTTGGTTACTCTGCGTGCCCATTCTACCCATGGCCGAGTGGCGATAATCTCTGGCCACAGTTTAGCATGGGCCGCTCTTTAAGAATGATAAAAGTAAAGGTGTAACCAGGAGGACTATGTACCTGCAGCGGGTTCTCGCCGGTGAGCAGATGGATGATCTCGAACGAGTGCTTGACGATGCGGCAGGCCATCAGCTTCTTGCCGTTGTTGCGACCCTTCATCATCAGGGAGCAGGTCAATCGCTCCACAATGGGGCACTGGGCCTTGCGGAAACGCTTGGCGGCATAACGTCCGGCGGAGTGGGGAAGGTAGCGGGCGAACTTCTCCTTCACCGAGATGTAATCCTGCAGCGAGATGTCGTTGACGGTCACATCGTCGCACGACCAGCGGCCGAACAGCTTGATCTCGGGCAACTCGGTGGTGGCCACCACATTCGTCTCCAGGATCGTCTCGGCGACCTCGGCTTCCAGAGGTGCCGCAGGCTCCTCGAAGGTCTCCACCACGTTTTCAGCAACTTCGGCCATGCTATTTGGGAAAGTGGATAAAAACTGTTAGTCACGTGTCTTTCAAAATCGATTGATTTATAGGGTGGATACTTGAGGGTATTGCTATCATTTCATAAACTATTCTCTTGTTTTTAAATCTTTTTAGTCACTAAACCTTGTCAATAACTGTTTCATGCTTTTGAGAGTAAGGCTTGGACAGACGCAGAAAATTGGACCGAAACGTGTTTTTCATTGTTTATGGATATATATTAAGTATTTACTTGTCTAGAAAATGTAATAATCATTTTAAGTTTGGATTTCGTTTATAATTAAACCTCGTTTCTTGTGATATTTAGAAGTTAATTCGAAGTTAAAAAATTTCTTTAATAAAGCAACTTTTACACAATACAAATAAATTTTTAAGAGCTTTTGGTTATCCAAATATCTTTTTAAATCAACGAGTTAACTTTAAATAATCATAGTTTATAAAAACACTGGGTTTACAATGACATATGCATTTTTCATAAAAAAAAAGGGTTACAATAAAAAAAATATTTAATATTTATTAATTTTTAAGCAATATTTCTTTGCTGTTAACACGTTTTTTAACAGTAAATGCGCGCTATATGCACACGCACATTCACCGCACACATACACACGCGCGTTGTTGTTGTTGACGACTGACTTAGATGATGATCCTTAAGATGAATAGTAAGCCAGGGTTCACGATTTGGTCCAATATATTTATACGTTTGAGCGGCAAATAAAAAAAAACATAAAAAAAAGGTGAAACCAACACGTGTGACGCACTCACACAGCCGAACTCACGCACACACACACAAACAAAAAGCCGCCCGTTTTTAACCTCATTTCTAAGGAAATGGAAGTTTTCTGGACATCGTCGCAATTAATTCACAAAACCCTCAGTATCCACGCTTATCCCGGGCATTTAGCCATCTTTTGGCCAAACTTTAGATTTAATTCACTCAATTAGACGTTGAAAATCCCTTACTTTGTCACAGAAGAAATCGAGATACGATGTCAGCGCAAAGGCAAACGCCTGAAAAAGAACATGTTACGGCAGTGTGCGGCAATGCCAGAAAGTCACATTTCCGCTGGCATGAGCACGGTTGCATTTCGGCTACCAGGGCTGCAAAAGGAGCCAGCTATCGATAAAGGCGGCTTAGCGATAGTTTGGGTTTTTGTCTGGATTTATTCACTCCATAAAATTCAAATACTTCTGCTGTCACACATTATTGCCTATTAAATAATAATTGATTAAAACAAAATGTATTAAACAAATATTTAACCACTTTTATTCACCTCGTTTGCGGAATTTTCTATCGATACGGGGCCCTTGGCTGCTTTGCCACTCACAACGCTTAGCGATAGTTGCCATTCGGCCATTTACATCGTAAATAAATATCGTTATTCTTTTTTTTAATTATGGTATTCCTTAAAATAACAAAATTAAATTAATTTAACAAGTGCAATATATTTTCCTTGCTCTCTGTTTGATTTTCTGTCATAGCTTTAATTTGGAATTCATTTTTAGCTATCAAGCATGTCTTAATATAATTATGTTAATATATTCTGAACCTCCTTAAAACGATATTTTATATCTAAAGGCAAAAAACTAATAATATTTCATATTCCAACATTCAAAACATTCCAACACACCTTAAACAAGTTTATACCAATATTAATGTGCTAAGACATAAATAAACTATGCAGAGTTCTTAAAAAAAGCGCTTCAAATAGATACATAATGTAAATACTAGGCATAAAATATTGTGTGTTCAGTAAAACATCTTGTGATACAATTAGTACTATAGATATTTTTTAGATTGACTTTCAAAGTGCATTAGCGGCTTATTTTTTTTTTAATATATATTTATTAGGTCCTAAGTAATTTAGCCATCGCTATCAATATCAGCTGACCCAACCAGGGCTTTCAACACCAACAGCCGATAGTTTTTGGTTTATTTTGGTATATTTTTCGGTATTTAAGCCGGTCACACTCACGAGCAGGCCGAAGTTTCTCGTCCACTTGGGATTCCAGATATAAGTTTCGATCGGTCGTCATTTTCGAGTCAAAAGCCAAAACAGCAACAACTGTGAAATTTTTGCGTGAAACCAAGTCGATAAAAAACACAAATTAAAACAAACAAAATGGTTCGCCGTGGACGTTCAGCCAGCCCCCCGCCCTCCACTCGTCGGTAAGCAAATAGAGGAAAAGAAAGAAATATATAAGGAAAATCGGGAATTCGCCGGCAGGAAAAGCATTTCGTAATCACGGTCAAATCAATCGGATGATCTGGCTTTATCTTATGGACAGCCGCCGCTTTTTCCGGGCCCTGAAATGGGTTAAGGTTACGTAACCTTAAAAAAATAAGAGGAGACCCAATAACATGGGATGTTTCAGTTGTGCCGTCCGTTTAGCAGGTTTCCCGTCAAATCTGGCTTTTTTCGAATGCCGGAAGTAGTTAAAAACATCGGTATTTTCAAAATTGTCTAAAATCTTGTATGTTTATATGACAATATTCACTTCCAGGTCTCCTTAAATATTTCACAAAATGTTGCCAAGTTTTTAACAGTTTTTAATCTTATTTATGTCTTTTCCGTATTAAAGCCTTATTTGAATGGTCTGTCTTAAAAACCAATAAAAACTACGACCCTGAAAATATCTAAACTTAAAATAACCAATGTTGCTTAAAAATTAAAATATAAAGTATGAGTATTACATATTCTTACTGAGTTTCCTTTCAAGAAAAAACACTAATTTGCTTTTACTTAACAAAATGAAAAGGACTAGTAAGTTAAAAAATTCGTACATGATCCCAATATTTTCCTAAGACTAAAAACTTGCCTTTGTAGTTTATTTTCACACGAAGACCTCTTATTTCGTCACCAAATAATCAACAACGGCAGGGCAAAGTCCAGAATAACAACTAATTGTTTTTGTTTTCCCATTTGTTTCCTCCGACAACAGCTCCGCACCTGTGCAGGCACGAGCCCCCGCTCCCGCACCCGCCGCCGCCCCTGTGCCGGCCCGTGCTGCCGCCCCGCCCCCACCGCCGGCGCCCATGAGCGCTCCGCCCAGCGCCGTTGGCATGCCGGCGCCCCAGCAGCCATCGATGTTCCAGCAGATGGCCGCCACCGCCGGCGGCGTGGCCGTGGGATCGGCCATTGGACACACGGTCGGCCATGGACTGACCTCGCTGTTCAGCGGATCCGGCGACAAGGAGGCAGCTGCTCCGGCTCCGGCGGCAGCCGCTCCAGCCCCCCAGCAACCCTACTATGCCCAGCAGCAGCAGCCGAATGAGCCGCAGGGAGCCTGCGCCTGGGAGCTCAAACAGTTCATCCAGTGCGCCCAGGGCCAGGCGGATCTGACCCTCTGCGAGGGATTCAACGAGGCGCTGCGGCAGTGCAAGCAGAGCCACCATCTCCAGTAGAGGATCCATCGCCGGTTGAGGAGCACCTGGCCACCACAACCGGGTGGCACCTGTCCGACCCCTTCGTTTAGTTCTTAATTGTTTAATTGCAAGCATCTAAAAGAGAGCATTGTTTAATTGTAGTGCAAATTGAAATGTTAAATAGAAAATCCCATTGGCAGCCCAATTGATCCCTGTTCCCAAAGCAAAAATACAAGAAAACTAAAACCCACGGGCTGTCAATGTGGGCCAAAACAAAGCAAAGTTTCCAAGTGTTTTTATTGTTACAAATTATGGACAAAATTAAGGTATAAACTCGAATGTATTAAAACAAATACCTTTCTATGCCTATCTACACTATTATAAGTATCCTCTTAAATATTAATTGTTTAAAATTAGATTGTTTTTGTAGTTTGGTTTCTTGCCAAAAACTAATTTTAAAACCTCGTGCAATTTTTCCCTTTTGCACCCTTCTGGAAAATGCAAAATTTGCATTCTCTTGTGAAATGTGGCTTGTTTTTGGTTGCCAAAAATAAGATTGGTGACCGAATGACTGTGCACTTCTATAAATACCCAAATCGATTCACTTCCCCCTATATATTTTCTACCTTTTCTGCGATTTCTTTGTCACGTGTACTTTTCCCTTTTGTTTTGATTGCAATTTGCTTCTGTTTTGTTGAAATTCGTTGGTAAACAGGGGCAAATATGATAAACATGTTTACCAATTTAAATGGCTATATATGGAGGAGTATACTATATAGATTTTTACGGTTAATCGTAAGTTTAGTCATAGCTTGGTCTATTTCTTTCTTGTCAGATGTTTGGTGAACTTTAGATCTTATGAAGTATTTCTTATTAGTACATCAGTAAATGTGTTTTTAAATATTACAAATTGTTACAAGATTTAAGGGTTACTAACAAAATAACACAATTTATATACAATAAATAGTTCATCTACTTAACTTGTATCTTTCTTCCCTAAGAATCTTGTTGGCTTAGAAAATTTAAAAGACGAATTATATATATAAATATTTATTTATTTATAATATCTAAAAACCACTTGGCAACGACTTACCCAACAATGTTTTTTTTACATGCTTATTAAAACCCCATAGAACCCCAACCAAGTATTAAAATTGAATTCGAGACACCCATGAAGTTTCCGTTATTATTAAAGAATTTTTACATAGTGTCACCACTGTCCATAATTTTTAAGGCTATTGTCCAAATGAATTATGCTTTAACATTTTTTTTTTGGTGCTGGACAATACGTATGCGACAACTACGAATTTGACGCCTAGTAACACTAATTTCTCAATTTAAGCGGTACCGAAACGGTTGTCTCTTATTATCCAAAAAACAGTGTCTATAAAAAAAAAAGAACGAAGCCAAGACAAATAGCTACTCGAAAAAAATTACTACCAAGAATATTTCAAATAGATGAGAGCGATAATTTTCGAGGCAAATGTCCTTTTCGGTTTTTGGAATTTTCGAATTTTCGAATCTGACAGATAGTATCATTAAGTGGGGGGTAGGGGGTTTTCCGATTGCGAAGAATTCTCCGGGTGAGGAGCATCGATCCACCAGGTGTGTGAGTGTATATATTTTGTGTGTAATTGTTGTGTTCACTGCTCAATTTGGAATTCCGCTTCGAATGTGGATTTGCCTGTCCGGGTTTTGCTAGTAAAAACGGATGATATGTGTGGTGGTCCATGTGGATATGATTTATCTCCAGAGCTGTTGTGTGGCCTCCTGTTTCAGCTTTTCCTGCGACTTTTGCTTGCGGATCACCTTTGGCACCTGCACCTTTGGACTGACGGACGGTTGCCTCGGTGGCTTGATCTTCTTGGAGGATGCCTGTTGTTCCTTTATCGCCGTGGATGAGCTCCGCTTGGCCAGGAAGTAGCCCTCGGTCATGTCCTTCGTTGAGCTCTGCTTGCCGGGCTGTGCTCTTCTCCTGTAGGAAGTGGATGCCTCGTACTTGTAGTTCCTGGCCACATGCGCCTGCTTCCAGCTGGTGGCCACCTCCTTCTCCTTGATCCGCGGCTGCTCGAGATCCATGAACGGATGGGCCGCCTTGCAGATGTCCAGTTTGCTGCTGACCTGCGGCAGTTTCTTGCTCACCACGTTGCGGTATTCACTGACCAGCGATGGAGGCTTCGGTTTGGATGTGGCTATGGGTTTGGGTATGGCTGTGGGTTTGGGTTTGGATGCGGCTGTGGCTGTGGCTGCGGGCTTGGGTGTGGCAGTGGCTGTGGGCGTGGGTGTGGGACTGGCGTTGAAGAGGGCCTCCAGCGAGGAGGCATTCCTCACCAGACGCCGCAGTGAGGCCTCCTTTTTGGGCCGCACGCCCACGGAGAAGGATCTCTTCTCCACCCGCCGACCATTGAGATCCCAGGTGGCTGCATCGCGCCGGATGAGAGTTAACAGCGATGGCTTGACCACCGTGTCCACGGGACACGGCCGTTTGGCGCCATCCTTGCGGTGCAGCGTTGTCACCGCCAGGCGGGGCGACTCCCTGGCCTCCAGATCGGACGCCTGGATCAGTGAATTCGGCCTCACGGACTGCAGGTGGAGGAACTGCTCCCGGCGCAGCGACACATGGCACTTGCCCTGCTCGAGGAGCTGCCGGGTGGGCGCATGGCGTTGATAGCCGATCCGGAAGGAGCCCTGGCTCTGGAGCACGGGCAGCAGGTCGGCCAGATGTTGCTGGAGCAGTGCCCGCTCCGTCGACGTTCTGGCCACCGCTCGACGGCGGGGATCCTCCTCCTCCTCCGCCCCCGCCGCTGCCGCACTGGGTCTGTAGACCAGCTCCTTGGTGATCAGCCTGTTCTGCTTGCCCCGCGACTCCTGGGCCATCATAAGGGCCGACTTCGCCGCCCGGATGGTGGGCATAACTCCTGGCTTGATGGTGCTTTCCTTGGCCCTGCTCCACGGTGTCATCTTCTTTGGCTCCCAAACCATCTGAAAAAAAGGATACTTTAGAATATACCACCGAAAATTATGAATTTTTCAATAATGGTTTGTTTTTCAAAGCCCATAACTTGGATAACCGGACACCGATTTTAAAGTGGCATACCTAAAATGGACTTCCAGAAGTCCATAACTTTACCAAATTTAATCCGATTCCAGAGTGGCATACCTCTAAAGACTCGTGATTCGATTCTCTAAAAATCTCTATTCAAAATTTTCAATTTAACGTTGATCAAATTTTTGACCCATTTTCATGTTAGTTATTTCTAATTTTCCGATGTGTTGTAATAGAGTGACCCAAAATTGGACTTCTAGAGTCCATAACTTTGCCAAATTTAATCCGATTCCAAAGTGGCATACCTCTAAAGACTCGTGATTCGATTCTCTAAAAATCTGCATTCAAAATTTTCAATTTAACGTTGATCAAAATTTTGACCCATTTTCATGTTAGTTATTTCTAATTTTCTGATGACTTTTAAAAGGGTGACCCAAAATTGGACTTCTAGAGTCCATAATTTTGCCAAATTTAATCCGATTCCAAAGTGGCATACCTCTAAAGACTCGTGGATTGATTCTCTAAAAATCTGCATTCAAAATTTTCAATTTATCGTTGATCAAATTTTTGACCTATTTTCATGTTAGTTATTTCTAATTTTCCGATGTGTTGTAAATAGAGTTACCCAAAATTGGACTTCTAGAGTCCATAACTGTGCCAAATTTAATCCGATTCCAAAGTGGCATACCTCTAAAGACTCGTGATTCGATTTTCTAAAAATCTGCATTCAAAATTTTCAATTTAACGTTGATCAAAATTTTGACCCATTTTCATGTTAGTTATTTCTAATTTTCTGATGACTTGTAAAAGGGTGATCCTGAACTGGTGTAGCATTGCACATATGCAGGGAACATGTACTATATTGTAGATTGGTACGGGAACTCACCTGGATGCCCTCCTGGATATCCTTCATGCTCCTGGCGCTGGTCTTGCAACTGGCGTGACGCAGGTGCTCCTGCTCGGCGGGATGACCCTGAAAAATGGGCACTGGCTGGTGATTGGCCGACTTCCGCCAGCCCTCGAGCTCAGACATGACCTGGCTCTTCCGGCCGCTGGGTCGCCGACTGCGGTACCTTCTCTGATTCCCGCGGACCCAGACTTGGGTTGTCAGCCGAACAGATGGATCCTGGGGCTCCTTGTCGGTGGTCAGCCACTTGGTGGCTAATCCCGGGGTCATCAGTTCGCTGGGAACGTACGGCTGGCGATGGCCTTGATCCTGCTCATTCTCCTGCCGATCCTGGTCCCCGGAGTAATCCACCTCCCTCTCCAGCAGGGAACTCTCGGAGCGGTAATTGCGCAGGCGACTGCCATCCCTTCGCCTTTGGAGTTGCTGCTCCTCCTCCTCGCTCTCCTCCCTGGTGACCCTCAGGCGCGGCACCGCCCGCCGCTCCACACCCTCGTCGTCGGCGGGTCGCAGTCGCGGCACATAGAAGCGCTGGCTGAGCACACCCGTCCACAGGTTGGACGAGGGCAGGAGGAGCGGCCGCACCGAGGACTGGCGCCAAATGGGCCACTTGCGACCCTGCACCGTTTTGGGGGCATGGCGCGTCTTCACCGGCAGCACGCAGGTCGAAGGCCGGGACGGATGCACCCCCTTCCTCGCCTGGTAGCGGCCCAGGAAGTTGATGCTCGACCCACGTCGCTCCATCGCACCGGACAGCTTGCGCGTGAGGCGGGTGTTGAAGCTCACGTACGGACGCCACAGCAGCTGGGTATGCGCATCCGGACGACTGACCAGCGACGCCAGGTGCGGTGTCCACCGGCACTCCACCTGGCCACCACCCATCAGATGGGTCACCACGTTGCAAACCACGCTGCTCGTCCTCAGGGTTTCTTTACCGGAACCCTTCATCGCCGAAATCAAGCGGGACACTGCGAAGGCAGAGAAGGGTTTTAGCAATCAAAAAAATTGTTTATTGTATTACAAATAATATTTTCTAATTTAAAATCCCAAAATAACCTCTTAATTAGTAAAAAAAAAATGTAATAATAATATAATATATTCGTAATTGTTACCTCAAAAAAACATATTTATTTATTTCATTATAAAAAAATTGACATAAATAAATTAATATAACCAAACAAAAAGAAAATTATTTGAACCTAACATTTAAATATATCTTTAACATCCTTAAGTAATATATTTCAGAACATCACTGGACACAAGGCAATCTTGGTGAGTAGCATAATTATAGGTTTTCACAGGTTATCAGGTCGAAAGAGGAAATTAACCCAGATTTCACCCAGAAATTCACGCACTCACCCTTCAGAGGCCGCAGCTGATTTTCCGTCTGAGCCACTATACTTTTCATGTTCCAGGCAAATCCTTTTGTGTGTGGTTTTGAATGGTAAAAAACCTTAAACAAAATTAAAAAAAAAAAAAAACGGAAACACAAATATTTTGGATAAATGGATGCTTTCGCCTCGGAGCTGTTTAGTTGACTGAGGATGACAAGACCAGGAGACTTTGACACCTGTCATGTTGGAGGGCAAAGCCCACTCTATAGGGTCGATATTACATAATTGACATCCCAATCTTGGTATAAAATTTATTACAAAAATACTATAATTACGCCTCTAAGCCTAACTATCACACTTATAGAAAAATATTCCGACTGAAAGTTAGGACTGTCTCGCTCTTTTTGGCGGTTGCCATCATATCGTCTCATTCATGCTGATTTCTTGCTGTCAGGATTAAGTCGGTTTTGTGCTTAAGATTACTGGTTTTGATCTTAAAAAATAAATAAACTAACCTTAATGGTTTACATATTTGCTTGGTATTTTTTTTACAATTCACAATATCATGCTTTTGCACAAATATATATAGATATACAATAAACATAGAATACAATATATTTAATTGATAAAAACTAATGTGGGTGGTGAAGCCGCTTGCGCTTGGCACCATTTTTGCCGTCGGGGCTTTGGCCCGATTTGGCCCTGTTCTTCTTTGAGATTTTGTGCGGTCTGTTGTGGTCCCGGAGCGTTTGGCGTTCTTCCAGACGCTTGCGACTCCTGCTCAGGACAGCCGCCGCTTTGCTCATGATCTCATCGAAGTCCAGTTGCTCCTCCTCCACTTGGCGTGGCTCCTGCACCTGTTCCTGCTCCTGCTCTTGGAAATCCTCTTCCGGTGAATCCGGTTCACACACTTGCGGATGCTGGAACTCGTAGTACCAGGCATTCAGGAAACGGCTCTTCATCGTCTTCGTTTGGTAGACAATCGCTCTTGGCAAATCCTTCTCTTCGCGTAGTTTATATTGCAGTCTTTCGCTAGCCAGATATTCCACAAAGTTTAAGTAGCAGTCATCTTCGTTGGATTGTAGAATTTTAGTGGCCTGCAGGGCGATCTGTTCCAGGCAATCCTCCTGCTGGCTCATTTGTACGTAGTCCAGGACCCACTGGCATTGGTCCTCGGCCAGGGATGAACCCCTCCGCAGTGGCGGCATCCTCGGCAGTTTGCTTTGCTCCAGAAGCTGTACAATCCGATGTCGTTGCTCTTGCAACTGCCACCCGGGCTCGAAGTGCTCCAAGCGATTGGTGGGCAGTGGCGAGTCCATGGGCAGGGGCTCCACAAAGACACGCAGCTCCTCGGGAAACTGAGGGCAATCACTGAGATCCTCGCCGGCCACCAATTGCAGGCGATGCACTGCCTCGTTGAAGAGGTCCACACAGAACTGCGGATAGCGCTGGCTGGCTCTTTTGATGGCCCTATCCTGCTCGGTGGCGTGTTTCAGGCGGCGGAAGAGTTCGGGGCCCAGATTACCGAGCAGATACTCGCGAGTCTCCACTTGGTGCAGTTGGTCCACTGATGTCCTTGGCACTGCTCTGGCCAAAAACTTGACAGCCGCATCCAGTTCAGACATCAAACGCTGACGGCAATTTCCAGCGTGTCTGAAAGGAAAGATCTTTAAGGAGCGCAGAGCCAAACTATCGAGATGGAGCTCGGAATCCTTAAAAACGGTATGTGCAGGATGCTGGACAATTAAAGCCACATCTTGGCATCCACTTGCCTGCATCAATTGCTTTAAACGCTGCGGCAGATAACTCAAGTCTGCCAGACCAGCCATGCAAATAATGCCATTGGCTTGGGCCAGTTGAGCCGGCTCGCAGTCCTGGTAGCCATCTCGCATCTTCATCACACTCAATCCTATGCCCTGGGAGAAGGCCCTGATGTAGCCTCCCTCTGCCAATTGAGAACCGGGCGACTGCGGCTGCTGCAGTAGTCCCCTGTTCAGGTAGTAGTTCAACTGGAAACCCTCTTCACCGCCGGGCAGACTCAACACTAGCTTGTAGAATCGCCGGGCACCTGGCTGCACCTGCGGTAGACACTGGTTCAGAACGCGCCACAGATCCAGCTTTAGCCAACTCTGCTCCTCGAGACCAGCCAGAAGTTTCCCATAATCGCAGGGTTCGCCAAGTCTGTAGCGTTTCATCAGACGCAGTGAGCCCTCTACGCTGCGTTCGTCCACCAAACGATCGGGGGCATCGGCTCCAAAACTCAGCGGCAGCTGGTTAAAGAGCGAATCCTTCTGCTGCTGCACTCGCCGATAGTTCCGCCAACGCTTCATGTAGACCCGCATGACGCCCAGTTCGTAGCTGGAGCGCTGCATCTGCTTCTCGACCAGCTGGCGCGTTATCGAGTCGACCAGGGAATCGTAGGAGTGGCAGGCTTTATTATGCAACTGCAATTCTTGCCTGCAAATGTCTGCGAGGCTCTCCTGGAATATATCCTGATAGCACTCCAAAGTCTTGGCCTTTTTGAGGACCTCCCTTTGCTGTTGCTCCATCAGACGCAGCTGATCCAGTTTCTGCTGCCGCTCTCGCTCCAGCTGGATTTTCTCCAGCGCCCGCTGGCGTTGCTCTTCCAGCTCTTTTTCCTGGCGACGCTGCTGCTCCTCGCGTTCCCTTAGTTTCTGCTGACGCACTCGCTCGGCTTCGGCCACTTTGGCCTCGTGAATGGCCATCAGCTCGGCCTCCCGCTGCTTGGCAACGGCAATGGCCTGTTGGAGGGCCTGATGCTTGGCCTCTTCTTGTGCCCGTCGCTGCTGCTCGGCCAGAGCCTGCTCCTGGAGTTCCTGGGCGCGGGATTTGGGCAGGACAAAGCTAAACCCTCCACTGGGAACGGCTGGCGGAACACCGGTCGTGGCAGGAGCTGCAAATCCTGTTGACATTCCGCCCGGCTGCATGGGCACCTTAAAGAAGTTATCAGTCTGGGCTGGAGCTGCTGGTGGCTGCGGTTGTGGCGGGATTTGTGGCTGCATCTCCTCCTGCTGCATCCCAGGCAGCTGATCCTTAGCCGACCAGGCGATGCTCTTGAGCATTCCATGCTCGTTGAAGCTGTTGTGCGGGCGGTGGTCGAGGTAAAGGTCTCGCGGTGGAAGTGGTTCACCGCAGATGACCTCGCCAACGCTCTGTTGGCGTTTCATTTCCACCAGCTGAAAATAAAGGCGGGACAATTACAATAAAAGAAAGGTAAGACCCTGCCGAATAGCACCACACACCTCAATCTGTCGTGGCAGCTTGTAATCCGTCTCCACCGCGTGCATCCTGCTTAGCACCACTCTGTTTGCCTCGTTAACCTCCAATCCATAGTGTTGGACAAAATCCGCCGCCTCCTGTTCGGTGATAAAGCTCAGCATGTCGGTGATATAGGTGAGAGGCAGCGAGGACACCTCATCCTTCCGTGGAGCCCTGTAGGCCTGGATCAGGCGATGCAGGGCCAGCACACGCAGTCGCGTGAAATATGTGACCAGGATGCAGGCACTCAGGTAGCTGGTCTCCTCGTCCACGAGCAGCTGAAAGAATCGCACAAAGTTCGTGTCCTGCAGGGCCAAATGGAACTGAATGGCCTGACGCAATTCCGGGCAACTCTGCAGCTCCGAGGGCAGCTGCCCAATGTCCCAGAGGAAGTTGGCATCCGCCAGATTGAGCAAAACTATGTAGCCCCGAAATTCCGCTTCCCTGGGACACTGGACCCCCTTCAAGCGCAGATCGTGGTACATGTACTTCAGGGTCTGCAGACATTTGGTGAGATTCTCGGCATTGATCTTGCTGTCAAAGACGGAGGGATCGGCGGCCACCAGGCGAGCGGCACAATGGATGTGAAAACGGGCGCATTGCTCCACCAATTTGACGGCGCCCAGCGAGCACAGCTCCTGCTGGGTTATCTCCTTGCGGATGGACCGTGTGCGATCCCACACGAAGTGAAACCAGTCGCCCAGATTACTATCCTGGCGCTCACTAATATCCATGATCTCGTGCATCAGGTAGCTCATGGTCATGTGCAGTACGGTTTCGTTGCGAAGTTCATGCGGCAGTGGCGTCTCCTGGTCGGCACTGCTGCGGGAGTACTGTTTGAGGGCTCGCTCGTTGCAGATAAACTCATCGGAGTAGGGCTGCAGCTCATAGATGGCCACCTGGCGCTGGAATTCCCGGAGAACACGCTCCTTCTCGGGACACATATCCGGGCAATGACCCTGGGTGGCTCCAGTCAGCTGCCTTTGTGGTTGGGTCAGGCGCAGCAGTTTATCCCGGGCATCTAGAACTCGGTACTTCTCCTCACTTGTGTGGGCGGGTCTGCGCATCACGGCCTCCAGTTCCCTGATCTGGGCAGGCGTGCGTTCCCTGGCCGCCGGGGGATTCTTTGTGGCAGCCGCAACTGGCAGAGCTGGCAGTGTGGGACCCGGTTTCAGGGGCTTTCCCGGGGCATACTCACTCCGCCAGCCCGACTGGAGGGCACTCAACTCCGCCTGCACATCGGGATCCACCCACTCCTCTGTTTTCTGAGCCGGCGCTGTTTCGTTCTCCGCATAGGACAACTCGAACTGGTGGCCCTGGAAGGTTCCGCCCTCAAGGAGCGCCCGCTCCGCCTCCTCCTCGGTGGCATAGCTCACGGTGCAGGTCATGCGCCGTGGGCGCAGGACGAAGTTCATCAGGGTGCCAAAGCGGCCAAAATGCGAACGCGCCACATATTTGTCCAGAAATAGCTCCGGAATGTTTGTGCATCTGGTGCGGGGGAGGAAATGTACGATGCACTCGCGGTTTACTCGAATATGTCGCGTACTCACAGTAAAGTCTTGTAGTTGTAGGCGCCAGGGCGGGATTCTGCCATCGATTTAAGTCAAAATTTCTCGTAAAATACAATTTCAAATAAAATGTAGTACAATTATTATAATACGCCAACCTTCGATAGGTTGGGACAAAATCGATTTGACAATACAATTTTTGAAAATATTATCGGCATATTCACACAGGCGGCGTTTCTGCGACAACGACTTTTTAGAAAGAGCACACTGAAATGTCCTAAAATTCTATTGGTATTCAGTATTTTTAAGTATATATGTGATTTTTGCTAGGCACTTTGGTTTTATAGCCTGATTCCATTGCCAAATTTTAAATGTGCCTTATTCCAATGCCTCAAATTTTTAACGTTTAAACACTTTAATCACACTTTGATGTGCAAATTGTTTTATGACCACAAATTTCTGATGACCATAAATAGTGTGCGTTAGGCAAAATGTGTTTGGGATGTGACTCATAAGCTGAGGAAAAGATTTCACCTGCTGGTATAAATATTGAATTTAGTTATTTTTAGTTCTCGTTGGCGGATAAGCTGATTTAGGCCGCAGTGTAAAGGCAGTATTACTTTTAAGGGTTTGATCGATAGTATCGATTAAACGTAGTTTTTTTGTATTAGCTCAAACGGTCACACTTTACATACGATTGCTGAGCAGACCGAATCCGGGCACACCACTTTGTTGTTGCTCGATTGTTGTTGCAGATTGATAAATTCGAATTTCGGAGCGCAGCGCATTCAACTAAAGCGCGGCTCGTGGATTTTTTGTATTTTTTTTAAGTTCAAATAGATCGTTAATAATAGTGGCGGTCAATTAAATTATATAATGTGCGATCAATAAAAGTTATATTAAAAGTGCTAAAAAAAATTAAGAAGCGACGCCAGCGGGCGAAAAAGAGAGATAACCGAAAACGAAAAACACGACAAAAGCAACGTTGAAAAAGAGTAAAAAAAAATGATCGAACCGTAAATTTAAATGTATGCCAATACATAATACATATAATAATATGACCAAAACAAATGTCAAGTGAGAAAGCGATAGCGAAGAACGTTAAAAAGAAGTAAATAAATGATCTTGGCCCGTTGTTGTTTTTGGGTACTTTCGCGTTGTTGTTATTGTTGTAACTCGTTTTTAATGCGCGCGTGTATGAATCACACCAACACAAACAATAACAACAGCGATGCGATACGGTGAAATATGCTAAGTAAATAGCGAAAGAGAGTTAAAGTTTCCAGCGAGAGAGATAGAGCGCGAGAGGGAGCGCCAATACAAATACAAGTACATACTGGAAAACGATCCTTTTTCCAGGCACGCAGCCATCCTGCTCGCACCCATGCCGCCCTAGACCAACTTTTGTTGCAGCTGCCTAACAACCAACAATAAAGTGCAAAGGAGCAAGGGAGACGGCTGAAAACCGATGATGATGATGCGGTCGCAACAACAACAACAAGCTGCTGCAGGCAGATGAGCATAAAATACAACAAAAAATATAGATAGCTGAAAACAAAATTAGTAATAGGATAAATTCCGAAAAATACGAAAAAATCAAACGAGAAAAGAGGTATAAACGATCGCCCAATTGAATCAAGTGAATGTGTGTACAGTGCGAAAAGAAAGTGCATTGCTTCGATCCAAAATATATATAGATAACAGTTATTACTAATACGAAAATTACGAAATGAAGGTCACCGTCTGCTTCGGCGACGTTCGCATTCTGGTTCCCTGCGGTTCCGGAGAACTCCTCGTCAGCGATCTCGTCAAGGAGGCCACGCGACGCTACATCAAAGCAGCCGGCAAGGTAGGCAATATATCCTATATAATACCATCAATAAGTATCGTTATAGCTAACAGACTATTAATAAGGCACCTGTAAGATAGGAGTCAAATTCCATATAACACCATCAATAATATTTGAGTTTCACAATAGACAACATGAATAGGGTTTTAGGAAATCAATTTAAAATTATGTTAGTATTTGTTAAAATAAATTTATGCCATAAAACACCATTAATATATATACCTTGCTAACCATATAGTTCCATATAGTTTTCAATTTGGTATATAATATCAAACATTATAAACATATTCATTTATATACTTAAAGTAATGATATCAAAAGTATTTATTATTATTGTGGAATATAAAAATATATTGGTTATTATGAAGGTATAAATAAATATTTTATTTATGTAGAGGGGTGTGGGTGCTGCTAAATTTTATTTAAATAAGCTTGTTACCCTCCTCAAAAGTGCTGACAAAATCGGATTATTTATGCCAATAAACCCAAAACTATTTTTTTGTCAAGCTTGTATAAATATTTTACCTTTTTGCTTTTTTTTATGAACTAAATACATGTGATAACTCATTTTGCTTTGACAACAGGTTAAAATGTTTACATAATTTAATTTACTGGTACAAACACTTAATTAAAAAGGAAAGTGTCGTTAATAAAGTGTTATAAACATATCATTTGTTGAATATTTCCTAACACGTTAGGTGTATTATTAGGTACATTAGTGTATTTTTCACTGTTAACTAATTTAAGCAAAGGGGGTAATTTAAATTTTAGGTAATTTGGAAAGATGTTTAATAAATATTGCATTTTTTGTAGTAGTAATAGTGGTAAATTGCTGTAAACGAAACTTTTGTTGGTCATTCTTTATGCGGTAAATGTATCTTTTGACTGTAATTCTCGAGAAGTTCCCAACTCCCAATATCCACTGTAATTGGTCGACCACAAAACCTACTCCGTCATTTCTCCCGCAGTTCCGTAAACAATTTTTTCAAGAGCGGAAACTCTGTACTTGAGAGCGTTGTAATTACACGACAAAAAAACCCAAAAAACTAGAATTAAACCGAACAAGAAAAGGTTCTTCAACGGCGCTTATCGTGGGGATGGGGGCAGTGAGACACACAGATAAAGCGAAGATCGGAAAGAAGACCGAAAAGAAACAGAGCCTAGGTAAAATATTTGAATAATGATAAGCCCCCGACGAAGCCATAAAAACAAACCGAAAAAAGTGAGTGACAGAGTGAAAAGAAAACAGCGCGAGATGATAACAACAACCAACAAATCGAAGAAGAAAGAGGAGAACTCAAACCGAGAACAGAAGACTCGAATTATAATAAAAGTCAGTCGAGAATCAAAAGAACATTTTTATTTCTTTTTGAACTCGTTTGAACCCGATTTCAATCTTCGCCGGGGCGAGGCAACAGGTAACCCCAAAAGGCAAAGGGAAAAAGGGTCGAGAAATGCACTTTACAGGGCGAGAGAGACCTTAATTAATCAGAAATAACATCTGAAATTCGTTGGGGTCCTCTATAATTAATCAAAAGTTCAAGGGAAGAGCTCGCCCAATTCTACTAGAATTTTCCAGGGAAAATTCTGATTCGAAATCAATTTCGTTGCGCGGGGGCTCATGTTTTTTTTCTAATGATTATGAGTTGTGTTTTTCTTTGCTTGCCGAAACGATTAAGTCATTATGTAGATGGGTTGCGCCCCGGGAAATTAGAACAACTTCCTATAAGAATTTTTTTAGGGTTTTAAAAGAGTGTGTGAAAGATTCTTACAGGAAGTTCCGTGGGCATAGGACTTATTTCATAAATTAAACCAAGGCGTTATAACAAATTGTATTAAAAGTAACTCTGCAAAATGACTACAGTGAAATATACAAATTTTTTGTAAGGTACCAACTCTTAAATCCATTATCATTAAGTTATGGTGTAATATAACATATTCTGTTAAATAAATATAATTTAAAAATGCCTCATGCCATATGAACGCCGTAATTTGTTTATTGCAGCTTAGAGTAAATGTTCAACTAATTAGGCGTTTTCACAAACCATAAATAGTTTGCAACCGAAAGCTTCTGCTCACCTGACGAGTTGCCCTACTGGATTTCCGGTGTGGCTTTGGAGCCTGGCGGGGATCGGGGTCTGGAAATAGCAGTGGGGGACCGGTGTGGTGCCTGATCTGTTGCAACGTGTGTGAATTTTCGTTTGCTTTCATTGTCTGGCCAAAAGACGAAACTGTGTCAGCTGCAATTAAGTGCAAAAAGGGGAAATGAACAGATCAGAGGGGGTTGAGGTGGTACTACCAACCGATAAGACGCTTTCCATTTCGCGATCACGTGCGCAGCCCGATTCCAGACCAAAAAACCCGAAGCAAACCGCCAACAATTCCAACTTGCTAATTATGCAATTTAATGCTTCCCCATGCAAATGCATGTGCGGAGAAAATATCAGTCAAAATTATTTTACGAATGTTTTTAACATGTTTTAAACGCTCTTGTATATTTGTTCGGGTTTAATAACTTATAATCTTAGTCTACTTATATAAAACGAATTTGTATTTCTTAAATTATTATTTTTGTTATTCAGAATATTATTAAATCATTTTTAACAACATTATTTGGTTCCCTATGCCAACTTTTAACTCAACTCCTTGGAAGTATATACATACATATGTATAGCAGATATAAAAAAATGTCTATAAAATTCTAATTGGGATATTCAAATAATTTTCAAAAGTGTAACTTATAATTTCACCACGACTGTATACTTATTTGGTTTTTTGCAAGATCAACGAAATCGAATGACTTGCAGCTAGCTGCACTTCAAATTCTTCGGCCACATGAGATATTATTGTATTTTTTATTTAATTCTACTATTCCGAATCCGTAATTTTTTGTTTTGCAGCTGTGCGATCGGAGTTTTTTGTTCCTAGTAGTTTGTTTTGTTTTTCGCTTTTCGTTTCATTATCTTTTGCTGCCAACTGTGTGTGAGGTGTGAAGTGGAATAAGGAGAACGAGAATATGAAAAACAAGTGGAAAGATAGAGTGTTACCAACTGACCTATTGCAATTGAAGATATGTAACATTGAAATATTTTGCACATATTGCTAAAAGTGTGAGATAATGTGGATTAAAGACTTAATGTTTTTCTGTAACTCGGGTTTTTATACCCGTTACTCGTAGAGTAAAAGGGTATATTGTATTCGTGCAAAAGTATGTAACAGCTAGAAGGAAGCGTTTCCGACCCTATAAAGTATATATATTCTTGATCAGGGTCACTAGCCGAGTCGATATAGCCATGTCCGTCTGTCCGTCTGTCTGTCCGTCTGTCCGTCTGTCCGTCTGTCCGTCTGTCTGTCCGTCTGTCTGTCCGTATGAACGCTGAGATCTCGGAAACTATAAAAGCTAGAAGATTGGCATTTTGCATGCAGATTCTAGGAGTTCCTACGCAGCGCAAGTTTGTTTCAAAAAGGTGCCACGCCCCCTTTAACGCCCACAATCGCTTATATACGATTTTAAAAATTTAAATATTTCGGAAAAGTAAAAATGCAGTTTTATTGTGTTTATCAATACCTATCGAAATGTAGAAGAACTTTTTCAAATCGGAACATTCGTTAAAAAGTTATGCGTGATTAAAGTTTCTATCTCCATCTCCCTCGCACTCCCTTTACCTGAGTAACGGGTATCTGATAGTCGGGGCACCCGACTATAGCGTTCTCTCTTGTTTTATATGAAGTGAGCTGGATCTTGGTATAGGGATCAATTATATAAAGAAACAGACTACACAATTTATACCTATTGTTAAAACGTATTTTTTATTTATTCTTTTTATTATTTTGTCTATGGGTAATTATTAAGAAACATGTTAAATTAAACTCATAAAAAATCAAGTATATATATACTACTTTGAGGTTAAGAACCATAAGGTTTCAGTTTCAGCTCTAGTTCCTCAGAATCAAGGTCAACGTTTTTGATAACCTGGGGAGTAGTTACTTGAGTACCTTTAAAGTTATTCAAGCCCAACTTGGCAGGTCTATAAACGCGAATGATTTGTTTGATTATAGGCTCTGCAGTACTAGTAATGAACTTGAAACTGACTTTTTAGGAGTCAGCTATATTTTATGGACTCGGTCCATATGGCAAATGACGATTCGCAACCTACAATATTCGCAAAAAAAAAATAGTTTAACGTTCGGCTTAACGTTAAAAGCAATACGATATGGGCTTGTGATTCCTTTGTTCGAGCTCGACTTTAGTGGGCGTTACTTCTTATCAAACAAAACGAGGGGTAGAAGCTTATTCTTTACCCATTTGTTTATTTTGTTTGCCTGGGAAACCAGAGCTACGGGGAAATAAAATACAACAAATACAGAGAAAACAGCACATAAACCCAAGTTGAACAAAAAAATTCATTGAGCATTTTTCTTGTCGCTGTTGCTGAATTCTTGGCATTAAGTGGCAACAACGGCAGCAGCAAAACCGAGACTGCAAAACCAGTTTTGCACAATTTGTAAATTATTTAGTCATAAAAAGATATATCCAGCTCTCTTCTATCTCTCTCTCTCACCCGATCGCTCTTCCTTTTATGTTGCCATCTCGCTTGCACATTTTTTGCGGTTACATTTTTGATTTTTCTACTCACGCTAATTGTTAGCGTATTTTAAGTGCGCTCTAATTGGTTTAAGTCAATAATTTCAATGAAAATATGGTAGCAACACTATGAGAGGTCTTTCTCTGGGATTGGAAAAGCGGAAGGGGGTTATTTATGGGGCTTATGTTGGGGCCAAGCTTTGACAATGGCAAACAATCGATAAATCCAAGCGGCAAACACCTTGGGCAGTTTATTTTTAAGGCCAATGGAATTTCGTTAGAATTTCGTTGGCATTTGGTTGTCGGTGAAATGTCGGTTGTAATTATGTATGTAGCGAAGGTCGGACAATGCCTGGAATTATATTTAGGTAGTATATGTTTATACTAACATATACAAACATTTTTTCTAAACAAA